TTTTGACTTGGGAAGAACAAGTGGTTTTTGAATGTGCTTTTCAGTCTTCAAGCTACTTCTGGAGTTGGCAGTGACTGCAAAATTGTTTTTTTCATCCTGTCCAATCTTCATGAACTATTGCTGACACAATCCTCCATGTGTCTCCGTCTGGAGATTTTATGGATCAAATACTGTTCTTCATCTTCCTGCCACTCTCCACATCTTCAGTTCCATCCTTCATTTTCCCAGTATGCTCACTGATGTTCTGGGTTCTTGGTAACAATCTGGTCTCTATGCTGCCAACAGTCACAGTTCTTTTAACCCTGCTATTTTACTTGTTTCTGCTGGAGCTTTCAGACACATTTTATATTTGCCCACCTCTATGTCCCTACCACAAATTTCTGCATCAATAGACCCAGCGAATATATAAAAATCAGTTTTTTATGTTCTAAATTATCAGTCACGGTGTGTAGTTCCTACCTTTTCTTTCTTTTTCAATTAATGGATCTAACCACTTCCTTCCACAATGAAGTGGTGGAAAGAACTCTTCTTGCCTTCTCACTTTGGATTCTCTGCCAACTTATATGGCAGTTAATGAAAAAAAAAATCATTTCAAGACCCTACAGATAAGGAAAGGGATTTCTACTTCATGAATCAGCTGACTCTGTTTACTCCTACTTTCACCAGCAGAAGTATCAGTATGTGTGTGTCCAGTTAGTCTGGCCACTACAGTTTGTACACAACATGTTGGACAGGACATGCCAGTACTGAATCCTGTCTACATTTCCTAAGTTCCTCTTCATTGCTAAAAACAAATTGGTTTTGGTTAGCCCTTGAGAGTCAACAGTTACTGTAATCTCAGTATTAATTTCATTGCACATGAGTCTCAGACGACACTGCTGGGTCATTGTTTTGCTTTTGTTTTCCTTTTCTAGTTCCATTCTGGCTCCAGGCCAGCTCCTTCATCCTTCTGTCATCTTATCTCATGGTTTCATTTTCTTGTTCTCTGGTCATTGAGCGATACCATTCACAAGTTGCACTGTAATCTAGGTGAACTTCTGACCTTAGATAACTATATATGACATTATTTTAGTACTTGTTCTACTATTTCTTCTCATGTTTCCACTTGCCCAAGCACATTTCCACTCTCTCTTCAAGAACAACCTGAGTATTCAAGACGCAAATGTCTGCATAATTTCCAGCTAAAAGTTGGAGGTTCATTTGCAGATTAGGATTCCAAGTTGCTTTCTATTTCAGAGCCATAAATCGTGTATAAACTAATATTGTGTATATACATTAAATTACTACTGGTATTTGTCTGTTCTGTTGTCAAACAAGTTCTAGCTGGAGTCACCATAGGAAAGCTTTTTGCTTCTGAGGTGTATTGTCTGTTATGCTTTCCAGTTGTTCTTCTTTTTAGTAAGGATGCTTTCAGTATAGGTTAATACACTGTTTTAAAAGTTGTTATGGAATATGCAGTATTTGTGGACCTAGCAACCCAGGACTGTGTAGCGTCTTAAGAACAGAATGTACCAAATGCTCTAAAAGCAGTCTTAACAGTTTTCTTGGTCACCTCTCTGGAGGATATGTGGATGTCATGCACAACACTGCAGAGAATTTGAAACTTTACAGAGCATTTTGTGACAAAACAAGAACAAAACCAAGCTCATGACTGCCAGCTACAACAGTCCCAGTGCAGCCCCAAATACGGGTTCTATCCATCATGCAAGGAGCCAGTTCTCACAGAGTCAAGATATTTACTTCATGTCTACTCAGAGATGGGTACAACATGGTAAATCCAAAGCTAGCACCCACTCAGTAGTCCAGCTACTCGCTTTTATACACTTCAGACTGATACAGGGAAAAACTCCACTACTCATAAAAGTTGTAAAGTAAGTATGTATTTATTCAGCGCTGGGTGCCTTTGGGATATCTCCACAAAGACATGAGTGCCTTCTGAAGAAAAACATAACTCTCTACTTATTCCCCAGAATGTTACATATTCATCAAGTTTCACAGTACAACCATGCATATTCATTTCTTAGTCCCGCCTAGCCCCACTTCATATTATAATTAGTTTATCAGTCCCTCTGTGCTTGCACAGAGCTCTCTGGTGGTCCTCTAGTGGTCTCACGGGAGGAAGGCAAACGAGTTTTCCTTATCTTCTTCAGAGATGAGGTTTTCACCTTCTCTTCTTGCACATGCTCTCTGGTCTCTTGGTCACAGTTCAAACCACAAAGCTAGTTTAGCCTGGTTTGGGATCCAAGGAGCCCCTCTTATCTCAATAGCCTTGCAAGTCTGGCATTCCTTCTATCCTGCTTTTGCAAGCAGTTCCTCTCTTATCAGAATATCCTTGCATTCTCTCCCCCTGACTTTGAAAGCATCCTGTCTTCACAAGCACAGCAAATATACATCCTCTAAACAGCTATTCCTGATCAATAGCCTTTAATTCCCAACCCCCTTGCCTCAAGACTAGGAAAGAGAAGCATTTTCCCTACACACAAGAGTCTTCATCCTCATTCAAGATGTGAGCACATCTTCCCACCTTCATGCAAAGACACGGCACAATTTATTTTACCATGCATGTTTTGTGGGGAAGGGGCTTATTTATTGAGTAAGGGGATACTACAGCTTATGGATGTGTATTTTACTATGCAAATAACTAAAGATTAGTGCAAAAGTTCAACCAAAATTCTTCTTTGACCTTATCAATAGTTTGTTCCAGTGTTATCTCCTTGTTTAGCAGATTTATTGGTGTCATCCTGTTCTCCCTTCTCAGCAGTGGGGCCTTGATTCTTGGGTTCTGATGGTTATCTTGCAGAGATAGGGTTTATTACAACACCAGCCACCATTTATTCCGCTTGTCTCTTGAGTTTCCATAATTTTCACAAGAGTCCCAGTAACAATATAGTCTGATGGAAATATTTCATCCCAAAGTTAGACTGGTAATGCCTTGCCTGTTCAGGGCTAGAGGTAATTTAGAGGTAATACAGAGATCTGTCCCTTTGCTGACTACAAACCCTCTTTAAACACACTTCCTTTCTACCTAAACACTAAACAGAATGCTGCCTTTCAAGGGCCAGTTTGGAGCCATGTTTATTTGCAAATTGGTCTCTCGAGACAAGAGTCTGAGGTTGCCTGGAGTACCCCAGCTCTGAAGGGGTTACCTTTGCCATTTAGCCATTGATTCAGACAGGCTAGGCTTGGCTGCAGCTTTTGTAGAGGATCAGCCTCTGGGATCTGTGGTGATTTAAATGTTACTGTTTCCTTTCAGGTTTTTCCAATGGTTTGATTTGATTTTTCTCTATCTCCATTAACTTGAGAATTTTCTAGTACTATAAAGTGTGTTTTATAACCTCTCTTTTTACAAATTAGTATAACTAATTCCCTGAAGCATGAGTGGATTTTATGAAAGGGCTTCCTCTGGAAACCATGTATTTTGTCAGGTATGGAAGCGCATAAACCTCCACGCTGCCCTGTTCTGGGAGAGTTTCAATCTCGTTGCTTAATGACATCAACAAAGACAAGTAAATAGTTATTTCTCCTAGCTGTAGTTTGCAGGAACCCTGCATGGGTGATGCAAAAGTCATGGTGAAGGCCCTGGGTTTTGTGGTACTTAATCTTTATTCTCCTTTGGTTCATTAAAGCTGTGGCTTTTCTGATTAATTAAGCCTTAGGGCATTGGAGTTTCTTGTGGGTTTTTTTCCTTTTCCTTTAGCATTGGTATTTAGTGCTGGTTTGTCTAGGGCCTTTTTTTTTCCTGAGTGTAGGTATTTAGTGCTTGTTTGGAGGATTTTCAGGACTATTGGATTAACTCCTATCTGCTATGACCAGTACAACCAACTTTCTGCTTCTATAAAGTCCTTGCCCTTCTGTGGGGTTTTAGAACCATGTGCACATACATTATGTCATACAGAACATTTATGATGAGTTCTTTTATATAATTTGATTAATCTTATGGTTTTTGTTGCAGATAAATTTAGCCACAAAGTACCTGTTTTAACCACATAACTTGAACAGATTTAGGCACAAAATTCTGAGTAGATGAGCAAGTGGAGGTTTGTGTGGAGGGTGTGGAAAGGTATTTTATATCTCTTGTCATGCAAGAAGTTTTCATGAAAGAACCCATGTGGAGATGACTATAATCTTTCTCCATCCTTCTCTCTTTCTCTTTCTCCCCTGCTTCTTTTCCTATTTCTATCTCTCTACCTCATATTTATTGTGAGGTAAAATTTGTACCATTGACTTTGGAATATGATCTTGTTTGTACCTTAATTCAGGCAGAGGCATCTTTTAATTATCGGACCCTAACATTATTCCAGAAGTGGAATACTAAGAGCATTCTGGTAAATCTTAACACTCCTGTTCCTGAATCAAAAGCAAATCTACCTTTTCCAAGAAAATACTCTCATTCTCACAAATCTATTACTTTTTAAGCAGCAGCGTAAATTTTGAGCTCACTCTCCCCTGTTCTAATTTTCTAGACACTGCAGTTCCTCCTCCAGGCAAGGTACCACAAATGCCTGGAGCTAGAAGGAGCTTTTAGCTTGCTAAATGTGCTATTAGCTGCTCGATGCCTCTGCCCTGAGTGGCCTTTCAAGGGAATGATTCTCCCTTTTGTACCCAGGACAAGCAGCCACATACTACTCCTGACTCAGCCCAGGACCTGTATTCTCTGCTGGTGCTGCCCCAAACACTGCTTCCAAATTAAGACCCCTTTTCTGTCAAAGCAAGTAAGTCTAAAAAGGCTCCATAATTTGGCAGAAGGTAGCAGAGCAGGTCTGTCCGATCCCACACATTGGACCTTGACTCCAGTTATCACTAAATGAGGAGCTAGAAGTGAGGTGAGCCGCATCAGTGGTCTGGGTGTATGGGCTTGCTCATCAAGCCCTTATCAGGTGGCAACCGGAGCTCTCAGCTGGGTGGCTGCAGACAAACAGGTCCCTATCAAACAGGAGCAGGAGTGCCAGTTACAGGACTGAAGACTCAGGTTGGGTGCCAGGAGGTAATTCCACAAAGCTAGCACACCCTCTGTCTGAAGAATATATGCATAACTGTATGATTTGGATCTGCCTTTCTCTCCCTAATACCTGTTCTTTGTTTGCTAGCTGGTCCTGCAGATTGGAATTTCTTCCTCTTTAAGGACATTTGTTTTGAGCCAAAGCAGTTAATTATGTAGTTCATATTCTTGATTTAAGTTGGGCCTTGAAGCCAAGATCTATAGGCTGGTTTTTAAAGTCATTGCTCCTAGATATGCTTTTGCATGCTTTACTGATTCTTTAGGTTACCTTGACCTTCTGGGATAACCCAGGAATTTTGGATGTACACCAAGCAGCAACTCTTAATCCATAAAACCAGCAATGATTTTTAAGGAGCCTGGCAGCAAAATGAGTATTCTTGTGCATTCATATTCCTGTATTTGATTCTGTCAAGTAAGACCCTGATTTTGACCATCATGGTTTGTGTGTCTCACTGGGAATTTGGACATTAAACCTGCAAGCTTGCTACCCGTGACTTTTGAGATCCCAAGCATGTAAGGTATGATTTAAAGGAATTTTCTGAAACTACGTTTATTTTTGTCACTCTCTGAATTTACTCATGGCTCTCAGTCCGAGATCATCTGCTGGGGAAAGACAGGAATTCGGATTTGGTGGGACCACTCTGTGTTGAGGTGGCTCTATTATAGAGTTCATGTTTTCTGTAGTGCTAAAGACAGCAGCAATCGTCCTGGCTGTGATCTCTCAGGAGTGAATAGCTGATATTTTTGCCAGAATATAACCAGCTCATTAAAGGACAACTAAGCTAATGCATACTTAAATGGTATCTTAAAACATAGTGTAAACCCTTCTGCCTGGATAAATAAAAAGCAAGGTGGGGAGGCAAGGTCACACACAGAAGCTGTGATTTACTTACATCTCATGAGACCAAACTGACAAAACCCCATTATTTCCCCTGGATACATATTATCACTGAATGTATTTAGGGAGACATTTCTATCAAAATAATACAGATCAGTAGCTAAACATTTTTCTCCTGCAAACATCAGTTGGTCATATCAGGTGTAAAGGAGAAGCAGCCCAAGAATTAAACATACATTAAGTAGCCAATTATTCTATGCTAAACTGTGTTTTCTTCTCTGTTCATGTACTGATAGCTTTTGCTTTCTAACCCAGTTAAATCAAATGTCATGCATTGCCCAAATTCCTGGCACATATGCTAAAATCACAGAATCAGAGTGAGTTGGAATGGACCTTTAAAGATTGACTAGCCCAACCAAAATGAATATAGAGATAGTATTCTCACAGTCTTTTACTCCCTCATTTAACTAATAAACAAAATTACTTGCAGCGTACAGTCATGTTCTCTATGCCAAAAGAAGAATCTTTCTCAAAAAATACATTGTATGTTCCCACAGTGACACAAACACTGAATTAAAAGCAGATTAATATAAGTTTCTTTCTCAGGGTTGAACTTTCTAAACATGGAAAAGCTGTGACATATTTCATGCATTTTTACAGGTTCATGCCTTAGGAGAAGTGGTCCAGCAAGTCCAGTTATTTATATTTTATATTTTATATTTTATATTTTTATTTTAAGGGGAGGAAAGGTGCCATTCATTTCTATTTAGATGTTTGTCTTTTTGATAACTCCCAAAGATCTTCCCTTCCACTTGGATTACACAAATGGCAGGCTCAAGGACTTCCATCCCCCACACACTTTGATCACTTTCTGAAAGGGACAATAATCCTACCTCCTGTCATGAGTTGTTCCCATTCAAATATTTTCAAGTTACTGACTAAAAAAAAATTGTGTGGGCTGACTCACCTCTGGAGCTGTCATTGACCAGTCTTCCCATGGAACTTCTGCTCTCAGGCCACCCATAGCTTTTCCTCTGCTTTAAGCACAAACAATGTATGTAGTTTCAGAGCACCACAGAAATGCATCAGCAGGCAGCAATGCACAAGTTTTGTTAAGAAAAAACAAACTAATTTTTCAACAGAAGTTTGTTGAATTTTCATCAGCAAAGCTCATTCTTGTTTATTATTTCTGAAGGTAAAGGCTGGATGACCAGGGTGGAATAAGTTTGGAAGGAAGGCCAGACAAACAGGTTTTTAGACAATTTAATTTTCCAATTTAATTTTCCTTGACTTCAACAGCTTTGTTTGATGAACTTAAAAATTAAAGGGCAGGTAAATATGTTCAGAAGGCAGGGAAGGAGAAAGAACATTTGTATTTGCCAGCCATTTGCAGCTTAATTTGTAAAGTAAATAAAGGATGTGTAATTGGAATGTTCAGGAACTCTGAGAAAACTGGGAACTCTAAACCGCTATACAAAACAGAAAAGGTATGAGGGCTGTCAGGAATCACCCTTAGGAAAACATGACACATACAGCATTTGAAAGACTCTTAGTCTGCATCTGAAGTAAATAAACTTATCTTGATTAGCAAGAATGCATAAAGACTCTTAGCTACCCTCTTCTCCTGAGTGATCTACAGATGAAGAGGACACTAAGGTAAAGAAAGCCCCAGCCTCACAGAGAAAAATAAACCATTCTCACTGCAGAGATGGAAGTGCCTCCACAGTGTGAGTGTGAGACTGCAAGAAACATTGCTTGGATTCCTGTCCTCTTCAGGACTGGGTGTGCAGAACTCTGGATGCTGATCAGGATCACTGCATGTAGTAAGTTATCATTGGAAGGAAAAAAACTGCTGACATCCTTCCCACAACAGATATATATACACTATGTGGTAACTATAATAAAAGCAGGGCACAGATATTACAAAAATAAGAGAAAGGTGAAGAAAATCTGAAGGCAATTATGCATAGCTCATATAGGTTTCCTCAAGTGGCATAAGTACTCTGGCAGGATCACTCTTTTGTTAGCATAGTTGAGGCTTCTTGGCTTCTGTCAATACAGCTGTGTCACTACAAAGTAAATAAAACCACCTTGGTGATGAACACTGCTCTGGGTCAAAGGAAAGGAATGTAGGCCTGGCCTTAGGTGTTATCTTTGCAATTAGCTGACAACAACCATGTCGGGTGTTTAACAATGAGCACTGTAATAGGAAGGCTAAAATTGGTGTGAATGGAACATAAGTGGGAATATCTGGGTATGGAGAAAGCCAAGTGTACCCATCAGGGAGAAGAGCCAGTGTTAACAGCACCCAACTAGCAGCTCATCAAGAACCATCCAGTTTCACAGATCATGGAGACAAAGAACTGTAATGACTCTTGATGATGCCCAGAGATAGAAACACAATTGACCACTGTGAAGATACAAAACTATGTACCATGGTCAACAACCTAACAAGCAGTACTTGATAGTCAGCGTATTTGTCCTCCCTGTCACAACAGGTCTTGGATATAAGACCTGGATGCTGTCATGGGGTCCTCCTGGTGGTCACACAGCTTGAACACCCAGGCCCTGGTATGTGGAATCTGGGTAGCCTCCTTGGACGCCACACACCTCTGGTGCATGTGTGGAGGACTGCAAGCAGGTTTGTGTCAGTTTGTTCCAAACAAAGTCACCCCCGTAAGTTCTCACCAGGGTATTTCCTACACAGTTCATACAATGGTGCACAGTCTTTCCTGTGACCAAACCCTCTTAGGGTCAGTCCAATCTTTTGACTATCTCCAGTTCAACTGGCTTCAGAGAAGCCCTTTTCCATCCTCACAAGACCACCACTACTCCTACAAATGAACTTTTACATTTATGCCCCTAAATATAAGTTTTAGCATATATTTTGTGTCCTCATTGTGCTTTTATTGTCCCAAATGAAGGGTCATTACCCAGTAGGCAACTCAAATTCATACACCAAGGAGAAATATTTCTATCTTTATTGTACTTTGCACAAAGTAGGGAGATGTGTAGTAATCCCCAAAGGGCTGACTCCCCAGTCATCAAAACTTTAACTATTTATACATTTTAACAAACAAACAATTCAGCATGAAGTGGTAACAAATTACATAGCTTTTCAGTATTTAGCACTCAAACCTGTATTTGCTAATTTGTAAATCTCACTTCTGATGCTGATTAGTCCACCTGGGTAGTTCTTCCCTCCATTTGTATTGGAGGTCCATTTTGAGGAGGTGATCAATGGGTCCATGGTCACAATTCCCCTGCAAGAACTACTTTTCCCTCAGTTACTGCTTAGTCCTGCTGACTTCAGTTCTGATGGCTCTCATCCCGACAGCCCATTAATCTCGGGATTGTGCTCCCTTTTCCTTAAAACAAAAGATTAGCCATGCCTACAAATTTCTATAAATTTCACAATGCAGCTGCTTAATCCTAGATGCCTAGATATAGTTACTGATTAACAACAAAAAAACCTGCAAAGTTAGGTTCAGATAGTGAGACTAGGTGACTTTCTCCATCACTATCTCACAGTTTTAAGGTAAAACATTAAGGTTAAAAAACCCAAACCAAAAAATTTGGTAAGACATTGAAATCCTTTATATAAAAAAAAGGAACAATAAAAGAACGCAAGGACTCTTTTTACTTACTGGGGTTTTTTTGAGTGCAGGTAATCTTTAATACATTAAAAACATTAACATTAGAGCAGCTGTATCACTTCATTATGACCTAACATGATTTAAAATATTTGTAATAATTTGACAATCAACCTTGTCAAAGATTAATCATGTAATTATCCCTCTCATCTTTTTCACAGAAACCCACTGCAAGCTGATCTCTTATCAGGGACTCTGTTGATTCTCATGGTATTCAATATATCAAAATGTCAACAGTTAATTTTTAAGAGATTAAAATGGGTTAGGAAACCATCCTACTGTGCTTCATGCCAGAGTGGCATCTGAGAAACATACCCATGCAGGTTCATTTGTGTTGTGGGTAGAAAAAGAGTACATCATGTCTGTAAAATGTTCATAGCAGTTCTAAATGCTCACATCCACACTTCTGATTTGCTTTTTAAATGATATTTGTGGAAATCTGCCAGGCTTGCTGTGTCAGGATTGATAATTGCCATGACTTGCCAGCCAAAATTCTCATGAAGAATTGATGAGGACAGTTGACCAAAAACATGAGCTAAGCCATGCTTTTCTTGCACCTGGCTGGAGCAAGGCTCAACAACAGAACATTGTCTGTGAGAAAGCAGAGGCCTCGCAGCCCAGTGTTGTCTCTGTGAAGCACAGAACAACAACAGGGTCTCTGTACCAGCCTTATCCCCCTCATCCATGGGAGCCTTGTGATAACTCTTATCCTTTGAGGAGATGAGGATGTAAAGACTCTCTGGGGAAGGTCAGATGGCCTTTGCTGCTGCCTCAGCTGGAGAAGGAGGATGCTGAATTGTCATGGTTCTGTTCTGTCTTTGTTTCCCTGTAAGTCACATAACTCCATTTGACCAAAGGTGACCAAAGGTAACCAAAGACCCTCATTGTCTCTATTTTGAATATTAAAAATATCCCCACCAATAACAACATAAGAAAAGAGCTGTTCCTGAATTGAATCCTGCATTTGCAGGATACAATATTCCTGAACCAACCATATTTGACTACAGTCACATCTGTATTTTGCTAAAAGTATGAATTTTATATTTCAAATCCTCTACTTTGGGAGAACAAGAATATGAACCCACTTTGCAGACAAGACTGTGGGCTGGCTGCTCTGTCCTCCCCAGAACAGCAACACCTCTTTGTTACGATCTGCACCTCCACCAAACTGCATTGGAGTGTACCTGGGAACAGTTCTACACAGCACTATGCACTCACATTCTGTGGACATAGTGCATTTGTCACTGGTATGCTAACAAGAATCCATAACCTGTTGCTTGAATGAACTACATTTTTTGTTAATCTGTGATCATGAAAGTTCTTATTGAACATGAGCTATAGTGCCAAATTGGATATAATCAGAAATTAAAACATGCCTCACCCAGCCCCTCTGCTCTCTGAGGACAAGCTTGAATGCAGGGGGGCTTATTTTCTGCCTAACTTCATCCACTTATCACGGCATCTGACATAGCCCAGTTTTGTATTACTTTAAATCTCTTTCAATGTGTTATCCCTTACTGATTCATTCTACACCACACAAAAGCAGTATCTTCAATTCCTTCTGTTTGTGATTATCTGAATGAGGAAAATATTCTAGTAATGGAACTGACCTGCTTTCAGGCTTGTGATGGATCTTAACTCTTACCATACAGGGCTGTGACCTGAATGCTGAGTCACAGGGCCTGCATAGGGGGGACAGCTGCAGGCAACAAACTGAATACATGCATTTTTATAGTCAGGTCTGATGAAAATTATGATGAGGGAGAATGGGACCCCGATGAAAAAAATTTTTAATTTGTTTCATTTATAATAATTATTTTTATTTATTAATACTTGCTACAATGAAAAACAGTTAATAGCGATGCCCATTGTACAACTTTTCATTCTAGCATATAACAGTGTGATGAAATAAAGTTCTTGTCAGAGAAACAGGCTGAGCTTAAAAGAATCCACCCCAGAACTTGCAGTGAACTCAGTATGTCAGGAGATGGGTTCTTGGCAGTAAATCTGTTCCGTGTACTCATACGATGACGTTCAGACACAATCAATAAAACTGATAGTTCTTCCCCATATTACAAGGTGTCATTTGTTTGATTCAAGGTGACCCAGACCTTGCAGACCATGACTTAAAAGCCGCTCCCCATTTTGAGCCATTGCTACTATATATAATAACTGTTAAAAAGCAATTAAGAAACTTAGAATAATAAAAGGACTAATTATAATCCCCAATAAACTCTGCTCTGCTAACTCAGTGATTACAGTTTTATTGATTAATCTTACAGAATTTCTTTCAGTGAAGGAGAAAAAATTTATTTTAGTGGGTGAATAAAATGTCTATCTTCCCTTACTGCTTTTATTGTGCTCACAATAAGTGTGAAGTACATTTGTTTAGAGACAATCTGACTAACAAATCAAATCCACTGTCCAAAATTAAGTTAAATATTTGCAGATTCTGTCATGGAAGAAGAATGCACTGGACTCAAAAGAGAGAAGCAGTAAAATGTTTTATTGCAGTAGAATAATGATTTTTGACAAAGTTTGATGGAATTTGACAAAGTTCACTTTATTAATTACTGCATGGAGGAGACACACAAAGAAAAATTGAGTTAGAATGGCTCAGACAAGGACTGGAGGTATGAAGAATAAGAAGGACTGTTTTGTTCAGTCATGAGATGTCAAGTAGATCCCTTCCCTCCTTTCCAGAGCCTAGGTACAGCTGGATGCTGTCCATCAATGGTTTACTTCTCATGGAATTACCCACACTCACACACCTGAGTACCTACACACATCAGTAATATTTCACAGTATGAGTTCAGCATGCTCTCAGTCCCTTCCTGAGAACCTGTCACAGGTACAGGATCTCTGAAGCCCAAGGAGTGACCTCACAAAGGTGTCATGGCCATGCAGCCTCTGCTGCAGCAAAGGGAGCTCAAAGCTCAAAGCTTTGCACAGGCTGTCCATGCTTGTGCAGTGAAGTAGTTGGCTGCAAATCTGAAACATAAACTTTAAGGAATTTAGAGATTTTAAAGGAGCGAAGATTTTAGTTAGAGATAAGCCTCACTAGAGTTAATTAAAATAAATGAGCAGGCCTTGATGAAGTTAAGAGTTAGTAGTTAACTAATAATTGATTGCTTGTCAACACAGTGTTTAGTTAGCTGGGTTTACAATGAAGAATATAGAAACTGACAAATAGCTTTTAGGAACATAAGACAATTTTGGGCCTCCTCTGTTCTGAAACCAATTGAAGACAAGGAATGGGAGTTCTACCAAGAGTTCATTTGTCATATTTGCATTGAAAAGGTAGAAAGGTCAGAATGAGGAAGACTTAATTTATTTCTTCATTTTGGCACCCATCACCATGAAAGGGACCACCGACCCATTTCAAGCAACAAACTACGCATGCTTAATAGCTTTTGAAACTATTAGTATGAAGCGAAGAATGGGATGTACCAAAATTATGAATATGTATTTGTATTTTTGTATTCAATACTTGTATGGATAAAAGGGCTCTGTAATCACTTGAAAGGTGTGGTATGTATTTGGGAGCTATCCTGCATGCTGCCCGGCATCGAATAAACATACACTTTCTAACTTTAAACTGTTAGAGAGCTTTTGTCCGTCACAGTTGGATATTGGTACTAGATCAATATCCATATTTCTTTAATAATTCAAGTCAACAGCAATAACAAGACAAATATCCTGTCTTAGCTCTGATATCTTGCTCTTTACCTTTGGTTATCTTGAACCTTTGGGTCTTGAAACCATCTTTTGAAACGTATTTTCAAAATTCCTTCATTCACTTGTAGGTGAGAGAGGGGCTTAACAGCTTGCAAGAGCACCCCAAGGACAAGGGGCCTGTTGCTCTGAACCAAAGGACAGGTAGGGCTCAAGTGTGTCCATCACATCACCCCATGCCTGCAGGGTAAAATTCAGAGTGTACAAGGCTACTAGATCATTGAGGAACCTTTCCTGTCTGACCATGCAGGAGCCACTCTGGAAGTCACACTCCCACCACCAGAGGCTTTCACTGCTGAGACTGAGGCTCCTTCACAGTCTCAGGCCTCTGGTTCCTTCAAGTAACTTAATTGTGGTGCAACAACAATTAAGTTGAGAACAAGCTAAAGTAACAGCTTGAGTTGTTGTCCAAGAAGTGACCTCAAACAAAAGAATCCCTGGGCCTTTATACTCTCACAGTCTAAGCCTGTCATAGTCTGGGATTTTGAGTCCTGGGCTCCTGGTGTGCCTCTGGCTGTCCAGTTACCCAGCTGACCCTCATGTCCCCATGTGCCCTTTGTTGTGCAAAGGGTTGGAGACTTGTCACTTCTCATTGGCTGGGGCTCCCAGCACCCAGACCTCAACCTGCAGCTTGCAACCCAACCTACCTGCACTGCGTTGTATTCTTCAACTTCTGTGATCTTGTAATTTAACAGTACAGTATTTCTGGTAATTTTTAGACACAAAGCATTGGAATAGGTAATGTGGCTTTGCACAAGACAAAACTAAACAGTAGATAAAGTGTCAGCAAGTCTGTGGTGGATTAAAGTCATTGGACTAGACTTTTCAAAAATGAGATTTACTCAATCTATGTTGAAGGAGAAGTGGCCTTTTTCCTTTTTTTTTTTTTTTTTTTTTTTTTGTGGTTAGTTTTTGTAAAATACATTTAGCTCTTTACTTTTCTTTCTTTCCTTCCTGCCACCACCAAAGGGGAAGACACTTGAAAAATGTGTTTAAGTTTCACTATTATGTAACTATGCAGTTTAGAGGAAGCTTCTCCTTACTTAGGATAAAAGATCTCACAGATGTCTAAGCAGCCAAAAGCATATGTTCTCTGACCTTCATCCTCAAATCTCTATGCTGTGGTTTCTTTCCCATGACACAATTTCCTGTTGTCTATCTAGTGTATGATTATTGACAACCACATCTCAACAAGTTTTCCTACAGCAACCATCAACTAAACATTCCACAAAGCCGTTTCTGCAAGCTTCTATTTTACTTTAAACAGAAGAACCCAGAAAAGTTTGTATTAACACCTGGCACAGAATATACATTTCTGTATGGCATGAGCAGGCAGCACTATCCACCTTTCCCTGTCTTGCTGGTATGTTATTTCCTCAGCAGCACTACAAATTTTTTGCCCATTTAACAAATTAGTCTGGAAGTATGATTTATATGGAATTTCTCTACATTATACAACATATGTGAGCTAAGTGGATTTAAAATCCCTCCAGGGTTTATGCTGGGGCCAGTTCTGTTCAATATTTTTACTGATGACACAGATGAGGGTATTGAGTCTTTCATTGGTAAATTTGCAGATGACACTAAGCTGGGATTGTGTGTCCATCTGTTGGAAGGTAGGAGGGCTCTGCAGAAAGACCTGGAATGGTTGAATGGATGGGCAGAGTCCAATAGGATAAAGTTTAATAAGTCCAAGTGCCAAGTCCTGCATTTTGGCCACAATAACTCTGCAGTGTTATAGGCTCGGGACAGCGTGGCAGGACAGTGCCCAGGCAGAAAGGGACCTGGGGGTGCTGGTGACAGCTGACTGAATGTAAGCCAGCCGTGTGCCTTGGTGGCCAAGAGGGCCAAGAGCATCCTGGCCTGTGTCAGGAACACTGTGGCCAGCAGGAGCAGGGATGTCATTCTTCCCCTGAACTCGGCACTGGTGAGGGCACACCGTGAGTGCTGTGTCCAGTCCTGGGCCCTCACTTTGGGAAGGACATTGAGATGCTTGAGCACATCCAGAGGAAATAACGAGGCTAGTGAGGAGCTTGGAACACAAGCCCTGTGAGGAATGACTGAGGGAGCTGGAAATGTTTAGCCCGGAGAAAAGGAGACTCAGTGGTGCCCTTATCACTCTCTACAACTTCTGAAAGGTGGTTGTAGTCAGGTGGGGTTGATCTCTTTCTCCAGACAGCATTTGTCAGAAGCAGAGAACACAGTCTTAAGCTGCACCAAGGAAATACAGGTTGGATATTAAGAAAATATTTTTTACAGAAAGGGTGATAAAGTATTGGAATGGTTTGCCCAGGGAGGTGATGGAGTCACCATCCCTGCATGTGTTTAAAAAAAGACTGGATGTGGCACTCAGTGCCATGGTTTAGTTGAGGTGGCATGGGTTTAGGGCATGGGTTGGACTCAGTGATCTTGAAGGTCTCATCCAACTTGTGATTCTGTGATTCTGTGAAAAGGGGAAGGGCAAGAACACAGATAGCCAGGCTGACAGTTTCAAAAGGTTAAGCTTAAGCTAAAGAATTGCAAAGCAGAGGACAGGGGAGCCTAGACAAGTGCATAAATTCCTGGTGGATGCCATCCTCAGAGAAGCAGTGAAGTTGAAAAACATGTTTCTTTCCTTCATATGTGCAGTCAGTATTGGTCCATCCATACTGCTTTATCAGCCAACAAAATTTACCAGCTGTTTCTCTGCAATCATCTGAAAACTCTAGGGTGTTCTGTGAAAGTTCAGCTTATGTTATATGTAAGTTTATTATAGAAAAGAACTTTATTTATGTAAATTTTCAAGCTTTGTCATATTTGAGAGTTTCCAAGCTAAGCAGAAAGAGCATAGAAAAAAATTACTTTTTTGTGTGCAAAGATTTGGATCAAAATAATTCACATGCAACCAATACCAAATCCTCAAATTGTTCTTAGATATAATTTTTCCTATTGCTTTCCAACTGCATCTCTTAAAAGATCTGCATTACTCCAATAACTCTTCACTTCCCTCACATATTTACATGGTATGCCCTTTAAGTTTTACTTCACTTGAGAGCCTTTGCAGTGGGCCAAATATGCAATTACCTCTAACTTCTGCTTACATAATTCCTAGCAGTAGCTGATGTTATTTCCCAATAGATGTTTATTTTGCATACAACGTGAGCAGCATTGCCTTGCTTCTGTTTGAGACTTGCCAGCCAGAGAGTAGATGTATATTTGCCCCACAAATAATGTCTTTATTGTTGCCTGTTGTCATCCACAAACACCTGAGCAGCAGGGGCATCTTGTTCAGCTTAAGTTACCAGCCTCATAAAAAACAACGAGCACTTACAGATTGTAACAGTCCTGGAAAAATTAGGAAGTGCCTCAGCACATCTAGACCACAGTTTAGCACACAAATCTTTGTTTACTGCTCAGTACTGGGAACTTACATCCACCAACTTACATCCATCTTGAGCCCATGACCCAAGAAACTTCCTGCAGGTAGAAGAGTATTTTGGAGAGCTGCCCACCTTACACACTCTTGGTGACAGGCAATTGATAATACGAATGGAATATAACAATGCCTTACTTATCCAAGTATGGGAACAAAGAGTTTCAAAGAAGTAGACAACTGAATGTAGAAGTAGACACCAGATGCTAAATGTAGCTGGAACCAGTGGATAAACAGATATTGAGGAATATAGTGGTTTTGTGGCAAAGCAATGTAATGAGAAACAACAGTGCTAAGAGATTATTTTTATGGCAAAATCATCTATAACCCTGGGGACACTCCAGTGACCACTCTGGTAACCACCAGGCCTCCAGACAAGACTCTAGGACCATTAAAGAACTTCCATTAATAGGTAGATGCATGCAAATTAGTTCTAGGGATAGTGATGTTTATGTATCAGCCAGGAAGTACACGGTAATCAATATGTATAGTCATAATGGATCACTATAGAATTGACTGTATTCCAGTACTGCTTGTGGTCTCCTACATGAATACCACCTCAGCTCCAGCTCTGAAATGAGTGTTGTACAAACTACCCTCTCCTTACCTGTGATTTGAGCCCATCACTGACTTACAGTCACCCTTGGAAGGGACAAAAGCAGAATACCAGGTCTACTAAAATGCAGCAGGCCCAGTTTCAAGTGGCAGACACCACTGATCGGACACAAATTACACTAGCTAAGAACATGAGACACTTTTCCTAAGAAAAATACTATTCTTGTTAGCATGGAAAGAGTACTTATAATTCATACAGGATAATGAACCAGAAAGCAGAAGTTAGTGACTGCTAGCCAAAGAAATGTTCTGGCATCAGAGATAAGGTACATGCTATACCCTTGAACAGTGTGTTCCTTGGTGCTTACCAGTTTTACTGCTCTTAGTCATCTCCCTACTTAGAGACCAACACAAGGCATTCTTTAGACCCTTCCTCTATTGTTTTACCTGCTCCTTTCACATACAAATGCTACATTCATAATTCATCCAGAGTAATTGCAATACTCTTACTACAGATCTCAGTTGGGAAGCCAAAGCAATAAACCTCTACGTGTGTTTAGCTTCTCTAAGTTAATGTAAGATGGAATATCTTTCAAAATCCCCATGAAATGTCATTGCCTCTGGTGAATTGTTCCAGCAGTCTCATGCTATCTCTGGATAAGTATATATTGCAAAAACAAAAAAGCAGGTACTTTTGGAAAAGGCATTCTCAGACTACCTTTTTGTCACTCTTCGTACCATGTGATACCTGCGATGAACTATCCATGGAAGTGCCATAAATATTATTTTCAAAATAAAATTACGCAGTCTACTCTTGTTGACCTCAAAGAACACAATATGTTACACTTGCTACATCATTTTGAAGAACTCAGGGAGGTTTTATAATGGGTAGTCCAAGAAAACCAGAACTTCCATGAGTAATTAGAAACTCCTTAGTACATGCCATGGGCTAAAAGATATTATGTAAGAAAAATACTGTAATATATAGATAGTTAACAGTCACAAGGTTTGTAGTATTAAAAAAATGGAAGCCATTCTGAAGGTTTCAAGCTGAATATGATAGATGACTAAGATTTAGTCTGTGTTATAATAAAAGTCTTCCAGTTGTAAACAAATAATTAATTGAAAATGACTTTGGGGTGTCCTAATTCTTCTTTGTAGGAGGCCATTTAGGCAGATATCCTTATCTGTGTATCTTATTCCAAGACAGGAAAAGATTTCACCCTTTACAATGAGACATTCCAGGCACCTGGTATATGTGATGCATTAAACACGTCTGAGAACTGCAGTCCCCTACACAGGGATGTCTGTAGGGATCCCTCATTAAAGCTGTCAATCTGAAGCTCTGCAGCTGGGCTGGCTAAAGCTTTCAAGACACCACACAATACATGAGTTCAAAATAATGGAAAATTAAATCCTCACTGAGTGAATCCAATAATCTTTTGTGCCTGGATAACCAAGCCATCATTGTGTAAGTGAAAAAAAACAACAACTGTCAAACAAGACTGAGTAGAAACTATTAAATTGTTTTACTGCTATTTAAACTCTGTCAATGTTTCCTTTTCTTATATACAGCTCAATGACCTCCTGGCTCCTTAAGCAGTAAACAGAGCTCTGAATTACAAATCAAGTAAGATTTACAATTACTTACTTCAGCATAGGTCCTTCTGGTGTCAGAACCTGAAGGGAATCAACTATATTTAGGTAAACCCGATACATCACTGTGACAGTAACACTGCCATAATTAAGCAAATAGTAGTAACTGTAATGCAAAAGCTCTATGTGTGTGTGTATGCGTTTGTATAGTCTCTAAAAAAATTAAACTTTGGACAAGAATGTATGCACAATCTATTCACTGACCCTAAATCAAAAATGTCTGTTATGCATAAGTATCTTGAGCAAAGATTGTCAAGACGCCATATCTGCAAAACGCTATTTTATTAGAAAACTGTATCTTGAAGGATGTTTAAGAGAGAAAGGCACTGCCTGCTGGAATATCACCCAGCCACTGAGTCATGTAACTTTTGGTCAATAATTGTATAACAACCATTGGAAATGGTGTGATCTTTATGTTCCAAACTGAACTGGTTATGTGTATGCCATTGTTTCACAACCAGGTATTCTGGCATTCTTTAATGTTTTGTTTGCAAGTGTTATCTTGCTATTATTCAAGAAAACAAACCAGGAATGCCTGCATAGGATCAAGCATCCAGCTCTTGAGGCCAGTTCTGAGCAGTGGGCCACCATCCCCCAGCCAACTCCCCCCAGTTTTATTGCTAAGCATGACGCCATATGGTGTGGCATGTCCCCTGGGTCAGCTGGGATCAGCTGTCCTAGCTGTGTCCCCTCCCAACCCCTTGTTTTGTATCCAGATGTCAGCACAGGCTGCCAGTCAGATCAGATCATGGTGATATTGCAATATTCCTTTTCAGCTTGTTACAGTTTTTAAAATTACTATTCCAACATGCACTCTGGTACCTTGTTCCTTGCCAACATAATTCTCAGTCACGTTAATACTGAGCAATAACAAGAGTTAGCACCATTGCTAACAAAATTTAACAGTTCCAAGAATCTCCCTTGTTAAGCACAGCTAAAAGAGGCAGCGAACAGTGAGAGCAGCAGTGTGTGGGCTCGTGCTTCTAGATCTGGGGCCCTTTGGGATCATTGTGAAGGGACATCTAAGAAGCCTTTGGGAAACTTGAGGTTGCCTAATACTGTAGGGAATAGACAGGAAGCAAGGCTAGCAGGGCTAGCAGAACTGTCAGTTCTTTGATTAAAGGGATCCTTGGAGGTTTTGTTCCAGCTGGCACTGATTAGAGAGGGTCTGGTCCCCCACTCAGCCTGAGGGCTATTTGAGAGCTGGGTCTAAAACACACAGGCCTTTTGGGGCATTTGGTGTGGGAAGGGCTGCTGCCTTATCTCATAGCAGCACACACTTCCTCAGCAGTGGTGGGGGTGTGCTACAAGCTGTTGTCCTCAGCAGCTTTTAGAAAATTTTTCCCTGTAACATTGGAGGTCTCAATCCCGAGAGATCTTCAGTAGGTGGGTGCTGGTGTGGAGGAGTGGGAGAGACATACCTTTTGAAATGTTTCAGTGGGCAAAGGAGCTGCAGGAGTCAGCTATGCATCAACAGGGGTTGTGAAAGAAACTGGACCCTCCCTGAGGCCCTACAGCTTCAAGAAACCATAGAGTTATGCACTAAAGGAGGGGCAGGCTGACTCTATCCATCAGGCTGGGATGTAAAAAACTCTCAGGATGGTGAAAGCTGGAAACTTGACACTCCTGCCTCTAGAAGGAAGGCTTATGCTCTGCCTGCACATTTGTAATACAAAATATGCCCAGTGCTGTGGCTGGAGACAAGAGGCTGAGAGCTCTGCCAAGGGAACTGCCTGAGCCCTACAGGAGCACCAGAAGGAAGGCTGCTCCCTTAATGCTGATCCCTCTGCTGTAGGGAATGGGCCTGTCTGCTGACCTCTTGTCTGGGGCAACTGAAGTGATACGCGGAATAAATAAATAGACTCCACAACTCGATGTAGTTATGAAGTGGGTATGTATGACAGCGCATGGCACAAGTGAGATAACTCTCCGAAATCTTGTGCCCCGAGCTGAAGTTTGCCCCCCAATTTTATTCACAAAGGTGTTCCATATGCAATACATTACACAACTTTTGTATGCACATTCAACCCCTGGCCCCGCCTGTCTTTGCCTCTCATGATAAATAGGTCCACGCCCTTCTGGGCATGGGTGGTTTTTTGTGGGGGCTTTTATGGGGGTCCCTGGTGGTCTTTGAGGCTTAAAACCATCATCTTCCTCTGCACTGAACTTTTGAACTCTTCTCCTCTGCGCATGCCTTTTGGTCCTTTGCTATCTTATCTGGATAAGTCCATCATCCTTGACATGTTTGGAAACAGAGGGGCTTCCTTGTCTGAATTCTTTGCATTCCTAGTCTTTTCCGGTATTTGTCTTTTTGCAAGAAGCTTTAAAGATCTTTGTTTTCTTTCCTATTCCTTTTGTGCAGAGGTTTCTTAAAATTCAACACATGATTCTACAAACATGATACATTCATTTTTGATACATTCATTTTGTTAGCTCAAGTGATCTCTGGAAAATCTTTCATTTCACAACTTCGCTGCTTTTCAGGGACTCTGATTTATCGTGGAGAGCCTGCAGAAACCTCTCTGGCTCTCTGATACCTGCTGCTTTTTCACGTGGGCATCAAATCCTCTCTAATTTTCTATTTTTCTAATTACTGGAGAGATTTGGATAGCATCAAATATGATACATATAGTTCTGGAGTGGTGGTGAAGAGGAATAAGAGCCCATCTTGTGTATCCTCAGCCCTGCTGGTCAACTATGATGGGGTTTTGGTTTCTATGAACGTGGTTTGTTCTTTGAGGCCTGAATGTTGCTTGGAAGAACTGGGATACAGTGGCCTAAGGTGATGGGGCATCCTTATCAACAGGATGTTGAAGCTGGTAAGAGCTTTAGACTAAGAATGATGAGGAAGAGAGGATGACAATCAAATGAAGATGTGATGAACGAGGTTATCAAGAAAATTACGAGGGCTTATGCAAACGGGGGATTTTATAATCAACTTGGCTGTAACACAAGTATATGCATATAAACACAAGGTTCAGAAAGAATTCCCTCCCTTTTTAACTGTGAAACAAAATCTTAATAATTATCAAGTAGATTGGTGTTACCCATACTGATGACCATGGGGAAATATTTTTTGCTCAGGCTCAAGGATTAACACTGAGGGGCCTCCCCACTCAAGGGAGGAATCTCCACATACATTCCCACAAGTCCTCCCTACTGGAACGTGGGACTGTGCCTTAATAGCACAAAGTGATTGAATGTCAGTCATATGTTGCTGTTGAGGATATCAGATATCGTGGCTCTTAGGTCTTCAAAGAATTGAGAGCAGTTGTTGGTTGCAGTAAAGTTGTTTATTGCATGAATACATCAGCCTCGAAGGCAAGGAGTTCAGAGTATTAAATTCCATGCTAAAAGCTTTCTGGCATAGGGTCACAGTGTTTTGAGCAAAAGCATCAGCAACAGCAGCTCCCACACTTTCTTCTTCTTCTTCCACTTTTTCTCCCACCCCAATACATGGATTTTATTCATAAATCATCCAATCAGCTAAAAGCACAATTCTAAAACATTCTTCCTAAACCAATCTAAGCTTAATTCTAATGTGTGAAAGTAATGTCAGTTTTTTACCCCAAATCTATGCATATAATTGTATCTATTTATGCAAATAGCTTTATGTCTTTATGCATATAGTTCCATCTGTTCTATCTAGAAATGCAAGCAATGTTCCTCTATGTTTTTGTTATGTCTGGAGCTAAGTTAATTTGTGAAAGGTAACACTACTGACCTTTAAATTAGGCTTTAGGGCCTTCTACTAGCTAACACAGTCTCTTAAGGCACTTAAGATATTTCTACTTACTTAAAACTAAAACTTACATTTCTACTTCACATCTGTGTGGCTTAATAGATCTCAATTTCTCTAAAGGCTCTAATTCAATCCTTGCATTCCTTTCTCTCTCTTAGGAGCTCAGAGAGGCTTCTGTTTCATGCATTCCAACATGTTGCTAGGCTAGTCACTGATATGCCAGCTTTATTTTTAAATATGATGTTGTCACTTGTTTGTTTCTCTCCTTCTGTAAACATCTGTCTTTCACATCCTTGCTTGTGTCAGTCTTTGTCAGGACACATCTATCTTTCACATCCCTGTGATGGATTTTACTTAGGATTGTTGGTCAGGCTGATCTCGGCATCCTTCACCACTTAAATCAATATTTTCACTGGAAATGAACTGTATTAAAATAGAGTTCAGGATCTTGAAGGGAGGAAAGAAGACAAAAGCTAGGACTGCTGTCCTACATTTCAAAAGGCTTCAGCATGTTCAGGGATCTACCTTGGTGAATCCACTTGATATGATCCTGGAAAGAGAACAACAGAAAAGACTGTTTTTGATTGGTTGGATTTTTTTGTATCTCACGAGGAATTCACTTTCTACAAGCTCAAGAACGGCTTATTCTGTTGTGCAGGAGAACCTGAATGGATGGCAGGAGGGTTTGCATGGATAAGCAAGGAGAGCGTGACTGAACTAAAGCATGAAAAGGAAGCATACAAGAGGTGACATAAGCACAGGTGGCTCAGAAGGAACTGTCTAACTCTGCAAGGATGAGTTAGGAAAACCAAATCAATCTGGTCAATGGATGTAAAAGGCAATAAGAAGTGCTTCCACAATAGAAAATGTGCACCCATCCCTGAATGTGACTGGGACCTGGTAACAAACAATGTTGGAGTGGGCCATTGTGAAAAATGTTTTTGTGATTCGTGTCAATTGGCAATGGAATCAGCAAATGCTTGTATCTGCTGTGTTGAAAGTGGATGTGTTCCCTGGGATAACTACAAAGAACGGCTTTGAAACTTTCTGACCAAATAGTCAAATAAAGCATCAAACAAGAAACCAAAATCAACAAAAAATAGAAGTATAGTAGAGTAAAGAGATGAGGTAGCAAGACAACTGATGCTTAGAATAAAATAGAGGAAGCTGTGGTAAAGCTAAGGGATATTGCAAAGCGACTAAATCCTTATGTACAATAAAAAAGCTTGATGCACTTGTAGCAGACCTCCCTCCAGACGACCACAAGAAGGACAGGAAGCCAAGGACCACCTGGAAAGATTATGAAATTGCTGATCCTGGCTTATTGATATTTGCTGATTTAGACTAACACAAGCACATTGGAAAATGCTTTGTAGGCTTAAAAACATTATATATACTTTGCCAAACTTGTAAGTGGTATGTGCTGTTAGCAGAGCGGTGACTCCTCGGCCACCCAGCGCTGCTTTCTTGCTTTCTTTAAAATAAAATATATAGAAATAAAATTTGGCTTGGCTATTGAAATTTTATATCACCATCATGGAAGGTACTGCAAAGGTGGGTGACTTCAAGTAGAACTTAAGCAGAATTTAATGCTAGGTTTTGGTTGCAGAGACACATGTTAGCATGAGGGATCACTGAACATGAGCATACAATGTGTGCTGCCACTAACAATGCAGTCTGTGTGTGCTCTTTGTAAGGGCTTGTTCCCACAGGAATGTGTGCAAGTGTAATGCTTTCAGCAAACCTCAGTGTGTACCCTTCTAGAACATTCAGTTTGTACAGTAAGAGATGGATGGATTTGTTTTACTTGGAAGAATACTGTAAAGATGTGAGGAACAATGAGGCTATTGAACCGTGCCACAGAATACTGTACAGCAGTGACTCCACCAGAGAGGACTGTCCTTGTCTGCTGCGTTGCATGTTTCCCAGCATTGCAGGAGACATGTAGGCCTAACTTTTAAAAACACTTTTTTCTCTTAAGCATCTTGTGCTTTTTTTCCTTTTGAGATTCAACAGAACCAGAACTTGGCTACAAAGCAGACATAGAAAGATTTAGGTTCTCAAGCTGTATTTGCCTTAGTCTTTATAACACAGTTTGGGTTGAAAGGGATCTTTAAAGGTCATCTAGTGCAACATCTGTGCAATGAGCAGGCACTCATTGATGTTTAACTAGATCAGGTTTCCACTGAGCTTGATTACGTTTCTATCCAGCCCAGTATGGACTGGATAATTTTATAGTGAGGTAGATTGGAAACAGCTTCAGCTTCTGAGTTCAAAGGATCAGCAGCACAAAGACAAACTGGAGACCACTCCCTTGCATCAATACTAAGGTCATATAATGCAACATCTTCCTTAATGACCTTGACAATGTGAGATGCAAAGTGCATGCTCAGAAGTTTGTAGATGATTCAAAACTGGAAATAGTGATTGATGTTACTCATTGTTCCAAAAAATGGATAAAAATAATAATTTTTAAAAAACCCTTAGCACCAATGTAATGTTGTGAAGCAGGTATTCTTTATTGAATGCTGGATGCATGAGGGGATATCTGCTCTGAAATATTGTTCATGCTGAATAAAGAAAAACTCTTGTTTAAATACTGTATTTTACATGCATAGTCATTGATTTTCCAGAATAAACATACTATGATAACAATTTCCCTGAAATCATGAACATTTTCCCACTTCTTTATGCACATATTATTCTGTCCTGGGAGTCTCCTAGGCGGTTCCTGGTGGTTGACCCCAGAGTGATACCTGACTGCCCAGTGAACTGATAGAAGTCAGCACATGGGCTGGTTGCTTTCCAGTTCTTCTTGCAGAATGGAAATTCTGCAGTTCCATAGGCCAGTGGTTTTTGAAGAATAAGCATTGTGTTAGCCCACAAGGCACAGATGATTTTTCATTTGGCAACATCATGATGTCCCTCTGAATAGGGACAAATGACAGGTTGGAGAAATCAGCAGATAGGAGCCTAATGAAGCTCAGCCAAGGCAAGTGCTTTTCTGCAGCTGGGGAGGAATAACCCCACATAGCAGCACAAGCTGAGGCCTCATTCTGTGTTAGAGCACTTCCTGAGTCACTCTTTATAGCCTGGTGCTTTATCAGTGCAGTTTCTCCACACGTTCCGCTGATGTGGCTGAAGTCCTTCCTGCAGCTGCCTGCAGTCAAACCAGTGTTAAGAGCAGCATGTGTCTGCTCCTCGGGATAATCTGATGCCAGTTTGAGATACAGCATGCAGTGTGAAGTTTGGCAGCTCATGACCTGCTTCAGAAGCAGCTCCTGAGGTTAGACAGTTATAGTCACGGGGCTAGTAATTATTTAGTTACTTCCAGCTGAAAAGCTGAGGAACAGTAAACCTATCCTAGCCATATTACTACCCACTTCCAGACTCACTGCTGTAGATAGTGGTGAACTGAATCTTGTGAAAAATAGGAAAAGAACTGGTTGCTGTTTATGTTTGTCACTCAGGCACACAGAATAGGACAGTACCACACAGTTTGCTACAGCTTTATCATGTCTCCTGACCCCAGGAAAGGGTTCTCCAGGGAGGCCTGCCAATGGAACCAGGAGCTTGTAATTAACAAATGTGATTAAGGTATTGACATGACTATAACTTAAAAAAATAAATATATTAGTTTCAGAATACCTAACAATGGGAAGGAAATTTACTAAGCAAAACTGGCAAAACAGGAAGATAAGTAGCTGGATGTAATATGTGCAGGTAAGAGATAAGGAAGAATGGCTGGTTTTGTATCAACAATAGGTTAAAAATATAGTAGCTTGGTGGAATATACACATAACTGCTTGCTTATTGAATATTAACCAAAAAAGGAAAGAGGGAAATGTGGTAAAAATGCTGTATAAACCCACTGAAATCTATATGGAACAGCAATGCTTCTAGAGAAGCATTTCATAGAGCACAGGCTCTAATGCTTTCTCTCAGCCAGCTTAATAAATACGTTTTTAACGGACAAAAATTGTTTGGTCCGTTGACCTTTGTTTCAATAGCTGGCTCACGATGACTGAGTAACATTGCAAGGATAAATATCTAACTATGTGCATAAGGTGTCACAGTCAAACTAGTCACATTCAAGCAATTTTTCTTTAGGGGGTTTTATAGCTTTCACCATAATGGTATGATTTGAATCATCCAATTACCTACTAATGGATATGTCTAATTATCCAATCACAAAATATACTTTGTAGGCTTTGCAGCATCATCATGCATCAGCATCTGTTGACGCAGTGATCTTGTACAAGGGTGTAGTTTTCCTCTGAAGTGGTAGTGTACATGGGCCTGGTCTTCCTCTGGGAATACAGTGGAGAATCCAGTGGGGAAAGGCTTCCTGTGGTGTCCCAAATCTCAGATTATACTCACATAGGAATGCTTGGCTCCTCCTCCCGGGTGGGGCATCTCACAATAGGATGATGTAATTTTATCAGTCATGCAGTAAGACTTCTTCTGAATGGATGCAATTTGTGCTAACAAAATTGTAATTATATCAGTAATTTGGGCAAATAACTGGAAAAATATATGTGATTAGTGTTATGAAGCAGGTGGGTTTCTTCAAGAATACGTGTGGGAAACAGGGTGCAGGAGCTGGATTTGGCATTGGGAATGGAGGAAGTCAGGAACTGACTCCCAAACCAGAATTGGCATCAACTGAAGTTAAAAGACAACTCCCAGAGCAGGATTGACCTTGAATATGAATAAAGTTGGGACCATTCCAGACAAGGAGTCTGAAATAGTGGTCTTATCTATGAAATAAATAAGGTTTAATTGGAACATAGTGCTTACTTGTATAACACCAAGTTAAATGCGCATGCACCAGCTGTTAAAAATGGGACCACGCTCCCAGTACTAAAAGTGATTTCAGCATTTATTGTAATAAAACAAGAAAGGCCTAAAGCAAGGGGGCCCACAGGCTGAGCAGGGGTGTTCCCATCGAGGATGCTGCAGCACCAGCGCTGGGTCTTCTGAGCAGTGATGTCCCTGGTGCTCCAGGTGGAGCAGCACGGGTTCAGTGTGTTAGAAGTCCCCTTTTTATCCTGTTTTTTTTTTTGTCTGTTTAGATTGGTTTCTTGTTGGCGCCTTCATTTGCATGAAGGTTTAAGGCACTTGATTGGCCCATTACAGTTCTGTCCAGGCCAGCTCTTTTGGCTTGGGGGGTGGTGCACTTTACTTAGGTGTAGTATAGTACCGTATTTCTTACAACTACCCCTTAAAACCCCTTTTACCATAACCAAACTAACAGTATATGCTTAACAACTATCAACTATTTTACAATAGTTTCTAACCTATTTTTAACATACCTGCCAGGTTATCCAGAGGACAGAGAGGAAGACCTTCAGCCTTCCTCCTAGAAGACCCCTGAAGAGACCAGAAGACCCCATAGCAATAATGGGAGAATGTGCTGTGCAGTAGAGTGATGTAGATTTCAAGAATCAAAAATGTGAGGAGATTTATGGAACTATTGATGAATATGTATCAGCATACAGTATACAAGTTGTGTTTGGATCCTTTTGCCTTTGTATGTGAGGCAGGGTGGGAACCCCTCCCCATACCCCAATCAATTGGTTTTTGCTTATGCTTTATCTGAGCCACTGCCAAATTTCTTTTCTGTAACTATTGAATTATATCTGCTTGTATTATTTAATCTCAATGAAAATTGCTGACCTCAATTAAAACTGCTGCTAAATTTTAAGTCTGTGGTTTATGGAATTGGACATATGGGACCTCATTCATAACAGACTCCATGGCCCATTAACAGAAAATATTTCCCAGAGGGAGGATAGGTCCTGGAAGAGATAAAGAAAACTACCCCACCTCTAACAGCTGGCAATAGAATACACACCCCCGGCCACATCTTGCATTCGCAACCTAACACAAGGAAGAAATGTAAGAAGGAAAGAAAAAAAACCAAAAAAGAACAAAAACAAAACAAAAAAATATAACCACCACTAAACCTAAATCAGAAACAAAGACAAAATTAATTGCAGGACGAAAGAGCTGGCAGACAGCAGGCCCGTATCGCTGCAGATGGATGGCGCTAATAGGAAAGCCGGTGCTGTGGAATGTCGCCACTGATGGCAGCAAGGAGCAAAGAGCGCTTAAAACCACGGCAGCCCTTGCCAAAAGGCTCCCAGCCTCTTCCAGGCTTGGGAGGATACTTTCTGCTGGCTGCTAAGCTCTGGAAATGGGGAGTGAGAGCCGCGTTTTTGCGGCTGCGGGGTGTTCCGGCGCTCCGGGAGGTGCTCCCTGAGGGGCCCGAGGCGATCCGGGGCGGGCCGGGAGCAGGACTACATCTCCCGTCATCCCGCGGGGCGCCGCCGCCATCTCGGCACCGACAGCGCCGTCCCCGCGCTCCCCGCTCCCCGCCGCGTGTATCGGGCCCTGCCGCATTCCCCGCTCCCTGCCGCATTCCCCGCTCCCTGCCGCATTCCCCGCTCCCTGCCATGAGCTGGGACGGCGCCGACGAGGAAGTCCGGCTCCTCCTGGACCTGTGAGTGCCGCCCCGCCACGCTCCCGCCCTGCGAGGGGCTCGGGGAGGGGCCGGGCTCGGCAGCGAGTGTGGTGCAGGCGGGGTTCGGCAGCCTCGGGAGAGGTGGCGGGGGGTGCCAGAGGTGCCCCGCCGGGAGCGGTCACAGGGCAGGCGACAGGGAGTGACAGGGCGGGTGACGAGGTGTGGCAGGGAGTAACAGTGTGTGATCCTTGGCAGATCCGCCTGTGCAGGGACGGCTGAGCATCCCTGAGCATCTTCACCTGGCCCCAGAGAATCCACTGAACGGCGTTTTGCTCTGAGTTTTTCTCCGTATTGATACCGAAATTGGCTAGAAAACAAATTTGCTAACGCAATTTGAAGTATTAGAAAGCAGGCATTCTTTCTTGCATAGCTGGACGTATCTGGAGGGCTTTTCATCTATGACAGTTTTCAAAATGTTTATTCCATACGTATTCTTTAAAGCAAGCATGCTTACCGGCTAGTACATAAATTCACTTTCCTAGAATTAATTTGCATACATCCACACTGGCAGTCCTTTTGTGGTCCTAGAGGGTCATCTAAAGGGGTCTCTGGTAGTCACCAGGTGTCCCCGGTGTTGCAAAGGGTGACTTTGCCTTGAGCTTTTCTTAGGACATGTGTGGTTGCTTCTTGTTACATAACTTCAGCATAAAAGCCACTGTATTCCTCATTGTCTGTTTATGCACTGGTTCTAGCCACATTTAACATCATGTGTGTCAAATTTTAAAATTATTTTATGTATTTGCTAGTTTTATGCTCTATCTTGAAATTCCCAAGGGGAACTGAAAATTTCTATTCTCTGTGTTATCTGTCAATGTCAAATTCCTTTGTGTTCTGGAGGAAGTTAGAAACAGCACTGGAATAAAATATTTCATTTGAAAGATAAAAGAAGAATAACTAGCAGAGAGTACAGTTAGATTGTTATTCATACCTTAAAGCACTGAATATAAGATTATAGTTTCCATGGTGTAGCCAATAAGTGTTTTATAGTTTCCTATAAAGTAGAATTACTGTGAAAACCTTTATAATTTGAATGATTAATTATTTAAACTGCAGATCAGTATTGTACTGTGAGAATATCTACTAGCTTTTTGAAAAGAACGTGATTAACCTTAATAACTGTTCAAGCTAAATTTAATATGCCATGGTAAGAGACAGTTGGCATAGCTCACATTGATTTCCATGTATCTGCGTTCAGTTTGGAGTATTTTCTGCAGATTTAAAGTAAGTTGGTGGTTTAGATTTAGAGGCCCCTTTTGAAGCTGCATTAGTGAGACAAGCCCTTGCTTTCTGCTCACCATGTTACACAGATCCTGCCTGTGAGCAGGTTCACATTTCTGGTCTTCAGAGATGATAATAAATGGTGTGTTTATTATCTTTGACAAGAATTTTTTGTAGAGGTAAACAACTATTCTTAATTTCTGCAGTCAAGTAGAGGAATGTTGTATATAGATAAGCTGTTCAATCTCAAAACAAAGAATGTGGATGGTGTAACCTATATGTACTGAGACAGAGCTTGGTACAGGCTTCTCTGTTGATCAGTCAGCCAAGTTCATCCAGCAGTCAGTGAGGTTCTGTGAAGGCATGGAATTCTTGCACATCTCTGCAGGAATGAGTTAAGGGTGATGCTGGTGTGTGCTTGGGTATATAAGGGTGTCTGCAGGCAAGCCCTGGGTTTAACTGCCCAGGTTCTGCTTGAAATGTCTCCTCCATACAGTGTCCTCTGCAATGACCTGCGAGAGATGCTCATTCTACATTGTATGAACTTCAGTGGTTTTTTAAAATGTGCTTCCATGCTGGAAATCTTGCTTCTTTCCTTAAGTCTGGGCTACCCTTCAGGTTTTTACAGCATTAATATTTTGACCTCTTTAAAGTTTGGGGTTTTTTTTTGGTGTGAGTTGAATTTCCTGCAGTTTGGTAGCATCCTGAGGCCAAGACAAAGTTTTGTTGCAAAACCAGTTGCCTCTAAGTGTGAAATACAAAGTTGTGTTTCGTGTCGATAATAAAGGCAACCTGTGTACTTGTAATTGTGAAATGTGTGGAACACGGCCATGGGACAGTTATAAATATGAGTTCTAATAAACAACTGAGGAAAGCATGGAAGAAGGTTTTTGAACCAATCTTTTGTTTGCAATTAACTATTGTAAGTCTTAAGCTGTTTTGAAATAAGAACCTTTGAATTATAACTTTAGAATGTTGCCTTGTATTAAGGATTTTTAAACTGTAGCTTTAGAATGTGAAAGGATTTAAACAAAAGAGGGAAGTGAACATATCCCAAGTTCCAAATGAAACAGTGAAAATATCCTGGAAAAAGAAGATGGATGTCAACGTTGCTGATTAATGATCCCAGAAAAGAGAAGCTGGACATCACTATCTTAGATTAATGGTCCTAGAAAATAGAAGCTGGACCCCACCATCTGGGATACACATCCTGGAATGTACATCCTGGAATATTGAAACCTGGAATAGATAATAATAGAGTATAGAATGTGGAAATGAACCAGATATCACCATCATAGATTTACGATCCTAAAGTATAGAATTAGGACATGAAAAATTGGAAATAGAAACTGCTGAGAAAAGCTTATGAATATGAATGAGTATGACCAATAAATACCAGCCAGCCCAGCAATCAGTGTGCAGTTGGAGGGGAAAGCCCCCACCACTGTACCCAGGGCTGTCTTTGCTCATACATTACCAAACAATTTAATAAATTATTAAATTGAGTTTCTGCTTGATATATTGGCTGAGTCAAGCTTCTCATTTCTAACTTAGGGACTCTAGAGCTGTGATTATATGCTAAATTTAATTTGGCATTACTCCAGGCTGCTGCTGCCCCCTGCACTCAGCCACTTGTCTTGGCAGTGTTGTTTCTGTGTCCTCAGAGTTTTACTCAAGGGGATTTTCATTCAGATCAGACGCTGAACAGCTCACACTGCAGCTGTGAATTTCAGAGACAGCTTGAGGAATGCACAGAAAAAAAAATGGTTAAGGGGCTGATTTTTGCTTTCACCGGCTTATGGAACAGTTTCACAAAAGGATCAGCTTGATCCCAAAGGGCAACAGCTGAATCAGTGGCAGCATGGAACAGCTGAAACTGATAATGTCTGAGGGAACCATAACTAGATGCAGAAGATGACAATTTATGGCTTGATCGTTGTAGTTCTACAGTGTAATGCTTCTTTTTGACTGTACTGTAACTTTTCTTTATTTCAGATGCCTTCAGTGTTTGACAAAGAACCTTTCCAGATACTCTGCAGATATTAAGTCATTGCCACCCAATATAAAAGATAAACTGATTAAATTAATGAGTAGGCAAGGGCAAATTACTGATGCAAATATCAGTGAGGTAAGAATCCATTCAAAACTATACTGTCTGTTTTGAGAGAGGAAAGCAGCATCTCTTGCACACCTGTCTGTTCCTGAGGGTAGTGTGTTTCAAGATGCTCATGGATAATTTATTTGATATACATATATGTTATATAAAGATTTCAGCAGCTTGTTAGAATTCTGTTGGTAGAATTCTACTGACACTAAGCATATAATTTATTTGAGTTTTGGTTCCTTGAAATATAATGATGGCAGAGCTAGGAATTGATCGTTCAAATTCTCCCATCTCTTTTGCACACTGATGTGTTTCAATATGACCCCAGTTAATGACATTTCTTCAGCTGTAAATTCAGGGGCACATCTGTTTTGCTGCCTGTTTACTGTTACCTTGTTCAGCCTCAAAGGGAGGCGTGAGAATTGAAGGAAGCTAAAGGTTGGCCTTGGTGAAACAGAAAATGAATGACTCCCTGTGCATTCCTGCTTTGACCTGTAACTCAAGAGACAAATATTATCAATTTCTCAGAGTCATGATAGTGGAGCCAAGGCCAAAGGCAGAAGCACTGGGAAAACTTACAAACAAAACAATTTAGCTTCAAATAAAATGATTTTGTGCTTACACAAAGTAATTGTTTGAGTAAAAATCACATTCTTTGGAAAAATTTTGACTGGACAAAATCTGGTTTAGGCTAGCTTTTCAGTAAGGAATAATTTCAAAACATCATAACATTATATAATTAAAGCCATGTGATTGTGTGTGTATGAAGGCACAAAATTCATTAGGCTATTTTTAGTCTGGAAATAAACTAGAGACTTTAATTTACAGACTTTTATGCTGTCTCTTCCTAAAGTCTCTTCTGTCTTCATTTAGCAGTTCATCAGTGCCTTCTCTTGGAGCCTATTTTCCATGTGACCCTGGGAAATTCTGCTCTGGTTCTTTTTTCATGTGTTTTTCCTTACTCTGTTCCTGCAATTTCCTGCAATTATATCCTTAGTTGTCATAATTTTCCTTGGGTATATTATACCTTAGCTTTCTTTCCTAGCAGTTTCCATTTTATTCATATCCTTCATGTCTTTTCTCTATTTTTCAGAGTTTTTTAAAAGAATTTTGCTTGAAGTTAAATTTCAGTTGAAATTCTCTTAATCTGAATTTTTCTGTATACGTCTATTTAATCTCTTACTTCCCTATTCTTGTCCAAACTTGTGTCACCATGCATCTTTTTCCCCCTTACTTTGCTTTTTGCTTGTAGCAGCCAACCACATGCGTGCCAAACTCTTTATTCTAAATTACTTTTACCATAAAGTTTTATAAAGCCATTGAGCGTGTGTCCACAGAATATAAGCCCATATTTTTAAATGCCTTTTTTTTATGTGCTGCATCCAGACAACCCGTTTGTCTATCTAAAAATTTTACATATTTGCAAAACAGCCAGTTTTCCTTGTAGTATCTTTATTGTACCTTGATTGAGTGAACAACTGGAGGAATAGGCCTTTAACAGGCCAGTCAAGTGTGCTGTTATCTTTGCTAGTTTATGGCAATTTATGTTTCTATCCCAGGGAGTTAAGGACAGGAGTGACAAACTGAAGGGAGTATCCGGCTATTGTTACTAAAATCTAAGGCCTTCCACTGCATTGAGTCTAACTTTCATAAATGTTCTCTTGGGAAAAATGTCACAAAAATTCCAGTCTGGGTCTTGTGGGAGTGAAAGATCCCATCTAATGAGGATTTGGTACCTCTTCATGGTATGGTAGTGAGAGTGCTTGTTTATGAGGAAAAGTTTGTGTGTGGGTGAGAAAAATACTTTAGGGGAACATACCTTCCAAATATCACTCTTAACTGTTATGCAGGTTAGAGTTTTGATCAAAGTCTGTACTTTTTTTTTTTTTTGCACTGCAGATTTCTGCCCCCAAAGTTGTGCTAAAAAATGTGATGGCATTGTCTTGGGTACACATGTAACAAGTGAACCACCAGGATTGTGTATCCATAGTTTAAGTAGTAATGTGTCACAGAAACAGTTCATGTTATAGGACCTGAACTGTTGCACAACTATACCAGATTTTATTTAATTTTTAGTTCCTAGGACTGGTAACCCCACCCTCTTATTGCAAACTTCTATCTGATGTCTAATATTACAAAATATTTTGTATCAATAAAATTTTATATAAAAATGCACATGCTTGATGGCATAGCAGAGTTTGACTGAAATGGTGGGTTTTTATTACAGGTATTGCACCCTGCTGTGGAGTCTCTGGATCTCCGAGACTGTGATATTTCAGATAATGCATTATTGCAGCTTTATAACTGCAAGCAGCTGAAAAAAATCAACTAAAATTCTTGCAAGGAGAACAGATTTGGAATTACTTCAGAAGGTGTGTTATCTGTGCACAGATAACTGGAATCTTATTTCTGGCTTATTTTTCTTGTTAGATTGGAATAAATTGCCAAGAATATATCTAGGGTAAATATTGCTTTAAAAAAATCCCCAGTGCCACCCCAGTACTAATTAAAAGTCTATCCAGTGGTGTAAATTTCAGGCCTAGAGCACTAATTATCTTAGGAGAGAGCTATCAGGTTACTCTCCTGCTAGATTTCAGCTAAAACCACACTATGCTCAACATGTTTTCCACTTTATCTTAATTATTCCTTCCTTAAAACTTGTTCCAGAGCCTTTGGACTCAGCATGGTGGTTATGTTAGAGAATGAATAACTCTTTCAAGTGTTTGTTTCTTTGGCAGGAGTCATAGCACTGGCCTTATCCTGTCCCTACCTGCGTGAAGCATCTTTCAAAAGGTGCTGTGATATAACTGACAGTGGAGTTCTGGCTCTGGCACTCAACTGCCAATTCCTACAAATAGTGAACTTGGGCAGCTGCTCAGGCATCATGGATGCATCTCTGCAGGCACTAGGAGAGAACTGCAAATTTCTTCACAGTGTGGACTTCTCATCTACTCAGGTAGCTGTGGTGGCAATTGGCCAATTGACTTTGGTTTTTTTTAAGATAGTCATGATAAAGTTCAAAGGGGATCATTGTAGCTCTACTCTTGACAAGATTTAGCACCATCATTTATTTCTAATTTCTGCCTCTTAAGGAAAAGTAAAGGCATATTTTTCTTATTGGTGACTGGAAAAATACACGTTTTGGTATTAGAGCATGTATGGTGAACCAAAGATAAACTTTGTTAGAATCTACCTTGGGTTTTTTTTTTTTTTTTTAGTATATTTATTTAATGTAATAATTTTCTTTAAGTTGTAAAGTAATCCAAAATATTCAATTTAAAGAACATAGAATCCTGGACAGATTATTGCCTGCTTTCAGTTAGGACAAACTGATGTGGATAATAATCTAGGATGTCAAACAATACAAGCCCCTAGTGGAAGTAAACACTCCATAATTAAATGATATTTTAGGAGTGATTGTACTTGTCAGAGTTGTATTACAGAGTCAACGCTGAAAGAATGACATTTTAAATGTCAGAAATGGCAGAGAAGAGGGTTTAACAACAGTGTTTAGCATGAGAAGGGAGAGACAAGCTGCAAAAGCAATCCTGTAACATATTTCATCATTACAGGGAGATAATGAAGCAAGGGAAAGGTTTTTTGCAGTAAGTGTAGCATTCAATTGACGCTGATGGTGAATAATTATGTTGAATGTGAGTCCAGTACTGAGCATTCACAATGAACTGTCAGTTCTGGAAATCATGTAGGAGGTTCTTATTTTAGATGCTATTCTTTTGATTTTTCCAGAAGTAGAGTATTAAAAGAGTCTTAATATTTCATTTGGTATTTTTTATTTATTGCCAGTTAACTCTTATTTCTCCAGACTTCCTTTATTGCTTTTTTATTTCCTTGCTTCTCTTCCTTTATAGCAAATAGCTGTTTCCCTGTGTGTATTTTAAATTAAGTAAAAGCTTCTTCAGTAACTACATGTTTACACTTTTTTTTAAACTTTTCTGCTATGATTACTTTTTTCCCCAATCCAAATTGGTCTAGGTAGAGCAGAAATGCTTTTTAAACCTATAAACTTGAAGTGCTATGCTCTGACCATATTTGTGTACCCACTGTTAAATGAGACAAGGAAGTATCCTTGCAGAAAGCCAGGCTGGATCAGGTGGCAGGAACATGAAACAGTAGAATGGAAAAAACCCACCTTGGATAATTTTCTCTACTAGTTTAGCTGGGAAGAAAATACTGTAGTGTTAAGTGTATTCACTGACTGCAGGGAGTGAATAAATGAATACAATTTTTGCATCCAAATAGCTGCATTTGAAAGCATTGAGCTTTAATCTGTTGTGTTTTTTTCCTCAGGTGACAGATGATGGCGTTGTAGCATTAGTGAGTGGAACATGTTCAAAGAATTTAAAGGTAACTGACTTAACCTAATAACAAAGGAATGAACAAAAGAAAATACCTGCATTTTAAAATTATAATTACTCTTATCAGCAGCATTACTTCTGAGGGAGAGTTTTTACTGACTGACCTTCATGTCTGTCCTCTTTCAAGATCCTTGGAGTTTATAAATTGCAAAGACTTTCCAATAAGACAATATTATTTTTACTTTTACCCTACAATCTCCAAAGTATATTTTACCAAATCTTAATTTCACTATTCACTAATTTCACTAATTTCATTTGATGGTCTTTTTTGCGCATTTTTTCTTATATGTTATATTTATTGATAGGTAAGGCAATTTAGAGGAGGGGAGAAAAGTTGGTAATAATCTGTTTCCTTATTCTGCTTTTCATCTTTTCCTAGCATGTACAAGAAATAGTGATTGTATAGCTGCAGAGCAAGTAGAAAAGAGCAGGGTTTAGCCTAATCTTGAAGAAGTTCTTTGATTTCTTTTAGGAACCATGTAGATAAATAGAAATACCAGAAACTTCAGCAGAGGCTATTTTGGGAAACACCAAAATTTAGTTTGGGTTCTGTTCTCCTGGACAACCAATTGGTAGGAGAATGTCATAGGCAAATTGGTGAGACTCAAACACCATGGAATCTCACTGAAGAGTTTACTCAGATGTCTTGAGTGGTGTGTGTGTTGGGAAAACTCACCTTTGATGCTGGAAAAGATGAAAGTTTGACAAGAAGGTTTCACAGATACGTATGCTTGGCAGAAAGCTCTCTGAATGTAGAACCTGAGAACGGAATAGAGACGGAAGCAAGTTTTGCTATAGAAGAACAATAGATGTCTAAATTGGAATTGCTGAGCCAGTTGTTACTGGGCAACTAAGAATACTAAGGTTAAGTTGAGCTGGAAGGAGGTTTCATGACTAGAGCAAAGGATATATTGACCACAAACAAAAAAGGTGTTTTTACCAAGCAGAAATAGGTCTTAGGAAAAGCAGAAAGGTACCAGAGGCAAACATGCTTATGTGGCAAATAGAAAAAAGGCCTAAGAATTTTCCACTTCAAGAAAACAGAAAAACAACTTTAAGCTTAACTGTAACATACTAACTCATGTGGTTGGATAGTAATGACCATAATATGGCAATGCTAGTAGTTGTGATAGGCTATAGGTAATAGTAAAGGTATTGTGCATGATGCTGATTGGTTGTTATGTATTAGGATGCTCAGCAAAGAAGAATATATAATGCGTTGTAACACTAAAATGGCTTCAGGCTTGCCTATAAGCTGTAGCTGGCAACTGTAGGCTAACTCTGTTACAATAATATCTTCTATACAATAAGCAGCATTTTGAAGAACTGCCTGGAGTCCCACATCTCTCATCTCAGGCTCTTACACTTTGTTTTTAGTTTAGACTCTTTACAGAAAAGCTGTCTTATTTTTCCTTAGGGTATTTTCCTGTTCTGTACAGTACCACATATGAGGTCAATGCACAGAGGTCATAATTCCTTCTGGTTGGGGATCTCTGAAATGAGCTGGGCAAAGGAAAGCTTTGCCTCTAAAACTCTGTGTGCTTTAACAGGCTGTTGTCATTCCTGTTTTCCTGACAGGAGATCCACATGGAGCGCTGTGTGAATCTGACAGACATCTCTGTGGAAGCCGTCCTTACTTGTTGTCCCAAGATACACATTTTTCTGTTCCATGGATGTCCACTGATAACAGGTAGGTCTAATCACAAGAAGATAATTACTTGCTGATCATACCTTCTTGATTTGTGAAAAGTACGCTGTACTCCATAAGTAATCCCAAGCAAATAATAACTTACTGGATAAAATAATCATGGTACACTGAGATTTTCAAAGCAAGGTGAGTTTTGTTTTGAAATGTGGCAGCAGCCTTCAGAGAGGGGATTTTTTTGTTTGTTTGGAAATCAAATTTTTTTCCCCTTTAGCATGCTGATGAAGACCCAGAGATTTCAGAAAAATATCTTAAACCCCTGCTCCCTTCCAAAAGTGTGGAACAGCATCCATTCAAGCAACAGTGGAATGGAGTAGGACAGTCTATGGGTGTTTTAACTTCTGTTGGTTGGTGATGCTTTATAGTTAGGTGATTGAAAAAAGAACCAATAGGGTTTGGATTACTACAGATGTATCTGAAATGTGATATTGTGATAGCAAAAGAAGTATAAATGCAGATGTAGAATTCCTTTACTGTGTTGTATGCCTGTTCCAAGCACCACCAGTACATTCTAATGAATAAGAAGAAATTCCTTTGTTACTTTTCAGATCGGTCCCGAGATGCTTTGGAGCAACTCATCATATCGAACAAAATCAAGCAACTGACATGGACTGTTTACTGATTATTTGTCCTGTACATGTGAGTGTCAAGTTTACAGGTGGGAGAGCTCCTTCAGCAAACAAGCACCTTGGAAGAACTAGCTGGTGACTTTTGTTCCACCAGGTTGCATCCCTCCTGCTTCCCACTGGAGGTCTCCGTTGCCATTCCAGTCCTTGCCTGTGAGCCTGGGCTTCCCCATTGTCTCTCCTCGGAGCCCTGTCTGCCTTTGCATTGATCAAACTTCATTAAGAGGAGCGTTAAACTGTAATTAATACTACAGGGCTGTTGCTCAGGCTTCCCGAAGTGCTGGATTAGGCTGCTACTTAGTATTCTTAGCAATTTAGCTACAAACCCAGTTTAGATAAGTTTGTGTTCTGAGTTTGTATTTTGGGGTGGTACTTCCAATCAAAAGTACCAAGCCCAAATGTAACATTGACACACAGCAGTGGCTGTGAAGTTGGGAGTTGAATCTTACTGAAATCAGCAGCCAGAACCGGTGAATGGAGGTGCCATTAACAGTGATACAAATGTGCTTTCACTAGTAACAAAGAATCTCATTTCACCATTTACTTTTGCTAGATCTGGAATAAAAAACATAGGTACCTTTCTTCTGATGTTACTGATGCTGCAGGTTTCTGTTCTTACTTACCATCAAATACTTGCTGGATTTTTACACATCCAAAATTACAGCCTGTGAATGTGTAAACATAAACTTGCATTGGAGTTGTTATGGTGACTACAAATTTCAGAGTAGTAGCTGTGACCAAGAACAGGATTTTACGTATGGGCAAATATTTAATTTGCCCTGGCTTTTGCCTGTGTTTCTACATGAAAAACCTTTTAGGGAACAAAACACTGGTATTCATAAGCATATCTGTGAATGAAATAGGACCAAATGTAGTGTCTGAGCATGGATGGTAGAGTATGTGTTCTGCTGTATGCAGTTCATTACATATCCAGTGGCCCCCCAAGCTGACAATATCAGTAATTTTATTGTTCAGTTATAGTAGTATTGGAAAGTAATTTTTGAACTGTAGAGTGAGTTTATTACATGATGGAGCAGTGCTCTCATCACAGTTTTATGTCATGTTCCTTGGCTTTCTTGAACCAGCATAACCTCCAGTCAGAATCCTATGATTTCTGCAAGAAGCTCCTTAATGCCAGACATTTTAGCTTTATAAGGGCATGGAGCACATGGGGTTCATCCTCTGGATCTGGAAGTAGAAGAGTTTAGCTATGGTGGTCCAACATGGATTTGATGACATCTGGAAATCTAAAGAGTTTAGGCAACCATAAGGAATATGTTTACTTTACCATTTAACTCTTGTCATAGCCACACCTAAGTGTTGCAGAAATAAACTAGTCTTATATTAATCTCTTTAAAGTTCAGGTCTAATTGCGTGGAAGGTATTTTTTGTTGCCAATATTAAAGGATATTATGATGTCTGACTATAATCTTTGTTCTTCTGTTAATTATATGGTTTTTGAAAGTGCAAGTCTATTTAGAAAAGTTGTTCAGGTGTCAGTAAAAGTGTATTTTTCCAGGACAAGCATCTAAATGCTCTTGTTGCATGGCTCAGCCCAGTGATGGGTGTGTTCCTATGATCTCTGTGGGTGTAACTGCACCAGTACAAACTACTGGTTCGAGAAGGAGTTGATTTTGCTACAGTAGCCACAAGCATCTGACAGAGCTGTTTAGGCAGCTCTGTGAAGCAGTGCTACTGTTCATCTCAGTGGCAAAGATGTCCTTCTTCTCCTTGCTAATACAACCTTGGATTTGTCATGTTGAAGGCAAATGCAGCTTATATGTGTCCTTAAGTGTGCCTGTAGATTGACCATCTTCCCCTACAGCCTCTTTTCAAAGTGTGACTTAGTGGTACATCCTCACCTGGTGCTTAAAAAGCTTTACAACACTGCAGTGAGTAACACTGTAATTTTAGGTTTAAACGTTTAATGTAAGTTACTTTAACTCAGACTTTGTGTTTTGTATAACTCTACTAGAATGTTTTTTGGTTCATAGTAATTTTCAACAAATGTTTACAGGCACTGGGTGAAGTGGGAGAAGAAACTCATGGATGTGCTTACTGCTTCATATTCTCTATTGTTTGGACATTGTTAATGTTGTGAGCCTTGCAGAATATTCACATATTGTTATGAAGATTAAAGTTTAGAAGTTGGCTGTTTGGATAGTTCTGAAAACTTGTTGGATTATAGAACCATGTACATCTGTCTGTGCTCCTAAACCTCCTACTTCATGAATACCGTGGTTTTCTGAGTGAGTATCACACACTTTTTCACATTTGTAAGCTTTCACCACAGCACCTGGCACCACCACACGGTGGTCTATGGTGCAGTTAGTAGCTCCCTATCACTGCTTGTTCTATAATGGTCTGCTAAAGTTGATACTTCCTGTAAGACTGCTCTGAAAACATTGGTTTCTTCTTCAAATGGCTACAGTTACAGCATCTTACCTGAGGATCAGGTCTTTTTTTAACCATGTTTGGCAGATGAAACTGGTTCTTAGTTGGCAGATAAAACTGAGAATGATTCTGGAGTTTGTCCAGCATCTCAGGAGACCAGCAAAATAATTATATCAGACTTGTATTCCCTGTTCTTATTTCGTTACCCTCTGTTTGTGACAGAAGTAAAGACTTCTTCATCCCTCAGCAGCGTCCCAAGGTGACAGATTGCAAAGGGTAATGTAGAGAATGTAGATCATTTGACCCTACTCTCAAGGGAATGAAGTTACCCTGTAGCTGGTACTATTTATTCACTTTCCATTATTAAAGCTTTTACACTGGCTGGCAGTCAAGAAGCAGAATTTAGATTTGGGTGCAACTCCTACATAATCACTCTGTCAGTTTCAAGGAAGAGGAAATTTTTATTATAGAGTGAAAGGGGGAGATTCAAATTAGTTACTTTGACATTCAGAAGAGATATCCAGAAAAAGAGCAAGGCACTTCAAGTTGAGCATATTATGAGCTAATAATCTAGTGGAGGATTTTATGGAGGACAGCAATAATTTTCTATATTTAGAAATTTTCTATAAATAAGCTGCAAAAGCCTGTGGAAGCAGTGCAGTAGTCCTTCAGCCACAGCCCTCTCCCCACAGCAGTATGCTGGACATCCAAAACATTTCACAGTAATGTCAGCAAGACACAAATGCACATGGGAAACATCAAGCATGCAAACTTCTACATGTAAGTTGTCTGTAGATCTGCACTACAATGCAGGCCCCTTTGAATACAGTTTGCACGTAACTTTTACATCAAATTGAGCAAAAGCCTCAATGAGTATGATTTAAATCAGTCCAGTGAAGGTACAGTAAGCTGGTTTACTTTAACAGACAATGTTCCTTGTTTCATTCCCATTTTCATGGTATATACCTGCAAAAAGCCAATCAAGTGAGACAAAATCCCATAGAAAGGCAGCTTCAAGAATCATCTAAGCTGTTTGAGGGCTGATAACTCCAGACAGTACTTGATGTTAGCCCGTTGTTTTCTTGTCTCGTATACTCAGGCAGTGAATATTCTATAACTTTGTGCAGCTGACTGCGAATGCTGTGGCTTAAAAACTGATGCCTGCCAGGGTCACCAATCAGCACTTCAGTCTGGTGAATCCTGATGCACTTCTGCAGCCAGTGATGCAGACCATCAGCAAGTTGTTCATCATAAAACATATCTCCTAGAACTATGAGGTCCCAGTTGCCAGCCTCTGAATTAATGATGTTCTTAATGGTGATGGGGAAGGGATTCAGGTGGTTCAGTTCACAGTTCAAGATCATTGCCATTCCTGCAACTGAAGAAAGTCAAAGGAAAATTAAAGTTACATTTTAGGATTCTGCCATTCAGCCCTTGTACATATTTCTGCAACACATCTTTCAGTTTCATCTCTTAAATGTTGTTGTTCATCCTATCTAGGGGGCTTCCACAGTTTTTATTATGAGTCAAAATCTAGCATGAAGTGATAAAATTTTATCCTTATTATACCATGACACAGAAAAAAAGAATTTTTCCTAGAATGGATACAAGTGGAAACCAATAATAGAATTGAAATAGAATATAATAACTGCTTTAAGCTATGGATATACTTCCTTCCTAACTAATGAATAATTAAATTATGAATAAACTGTATTCATAAGTCAATTATGGAAAGACAAAGCCTAGAGGAAAAAGGCAAAATGTAGGCCCTGATGTACATGAAAATACAGGAAAGTGCTGTGGTCCTACAGAGAAGCCAACTTGCTGCTTGTGCTTGGAGTTCTCATCCAAACCAGATGGTGTATGGGCAACACTTGACAAAGGTTGCTGTTTTTTCTAAGGAGCTATAGAGATATACCTGGGCCAAGAGAGGCTGGTACAACCCAGCTTCCAGTACTGGCAAAACCCACTACTCTTTTTAGCATTCTTAGGATTCTCTTTAGAACTTGAGTTTCTCCCAGATGGAGCAAAGAAAAGTCAGTGTTAAAGGTGCTTTAAAAATTAGTATCTTTCCACAGAGATGAAAAAAAGCCTTACTAGGGTCAATGTCATTGGCAAGGACTTGGGATGCACCGCTCATCACAGCAGCTATTGCTGTTGCTCCACATCCACTTCCAAGGTCCAGAACTGATCTTCCTTTAACCACATGTGGATTATCTAAAATATACCTGAAAAAAAAAAAAAAAAGCTGTTAAATAAGTGAACAAGATCATGCAAATTTCTCAGGTTTACATTACAATGCATGAGAGTTTTTTGCCAAACATGCAATGAAGTGTGGTACCTTAACACTATTCCACATGTGCAGCTGCCACAAAACTTCTTATTTGTCTCAGCTGACATAAAAATCAAGAACCATAATTTTTCTCCCTTAGTGTCCTCCCAACCCATAAACAAAAAGAAATTTAGCCAAGTAAGCAACATTTTATGTCAATCAGCTCCTTCTCTGACAGGTGAGCTTATCTGTTAAGTAGACACTGGTAAGTAGACACTTCTAGGTAACTAGAATTCATCAGAATGCATGAGAAATACTGAAACAAGTATTTGCAGAAATTAAAACCAATTTGACTGAACAAACATGATGTGTTCATAGTGAATATGGTGCCTACCCACCAATCTGAAACACTGCTTATGCAACTGCTTGGAAGAAGAGGAATTTCTCCTCTTTCTTTTCCTGAGCCATGCAGATAGAGATGCAAATACTTTGAGACTGCTTAGTGTTGTTCCTGAGTAGCAACTGAGAAAAAGAATAGAGCTGTGGTGAGCAGAAAGGGTATCTTCATCTGATTGCTGACACCTGCCAAGAGAAATCCTGAAAAACCTTTAGGCTGGAAGTGCAGAACTGACAGAAGGCAAGTAGCAGTTATTGTTAAATACTATGTATCATGTAGCCATTGCAGAGGGTTCAAAACTTTAACAATTGCCTTGAAATTCAGTTTGCTGCAAAGGGGAAAGCCCCAGGTGTCAGGGAGAAGAGCCCTGGGTGAAATGAATTACTGCAAACTGCCATAATTTTACTACCAATTTCCATAACTTCTTGTGAAGTAGAAATAAGAAGGGATTCTACATTTGTGTTATCTTCTGACAGGGAGAGTGATGGCTGACTCTTCACAGAGGGCTAGAGGTATGCACAGGTTTTGCAGAGGGACTCCAGTGCAGATAACTGTAACAGAAATGTTAAGACTGGTGTACACTGAGAATGGATGGAAATGTCTGGGCCTGAAACACCAGCAGGAATGGCACCAGTGGCCTAGTAAGCTTGTCAAGTGCAGAACATTTGTGTCGCGGCTCAGCAGCTCAGATGTTTAACAGCATCCGCCTAAGGCCATCACTCCCCTAAGGACAGCCCCTAGTTTACCACCAGGACCAAGGATAGTGTGGGATCTCCACAGAAGTGCTGTGTTTCTCCTTTCCAGGGCTCTGCTGGGATTTGCCATGGTTTCCATTAGTGATTTGTGTAGGGCACAATGTGGCCCTAATGCCCAAATGCCTTGTTTCCAGCTGAGTGGTTACTGAGTTGCTGCTGCTGATTGTGGTGACTGAGGACAGCTGGATGCTGCTGTATCCCCTGGCTCAGTGCACACAGCGTCTCTGCCCTCCTGGGTTAATGAGGAATCTTGGATTACACCAAGAGTAGCTTGAAATAGGAGACTCCTGATGCTATGGAAACAGCTGTGATAGGAGGACAGTTATGGAGGCAACCATATGTTTTTGTGCTCCCTTTTTACTCTTCCATATTATGCAACTGATTTCTGACATTTCTTAATACATCAAACCAGTGCATAAATAGCAAGACAAAGTAATGAAATGCCAGATAATTATTATTGCTACCCAAATATCTGAGCATACAAATAATATGATAATAAAATTAATAGATTAATTGATCTATTTTATTTACCCTGTGTTTAGGAGCACTCTAGTTCACCTACATGGCATAGTCAACTCATAATTTAACAGTAAGACTCATCTTTTACCTGGTCAAAACTGCCTTCTTATTTATGCTTTCTTGCAGAAAAACAGTAATGCCCCAGTTCAGATTCTTCCCTTTCATCTATGTGAGACTCTCTGACAGTTTGTTCTCTGCTGTAAAAATTAAGATTTTTTTTTTCCTGCTGTTTAAGTGAGAGGTTTGATTTCACAAAATAAAAGAACTCTAGTTCTTGGAAATCAGGAACATTAAAGACATTTTGACAGTCAGTGGCCAAAATCAAAATGTGGCTTCTGATGTGACGAAAATCCACAAAAAGTCACAATAATAAGGCTGCTGAATCCTAGATGAGGAGAGTTATTCAGGCTAACCAACACTCCAAGTGTATCAGCATTAAACTGCTTTTCTCAACAGACCACAGGCACATCCACACTCCTGTCTGTCTCCAACAAAAAACCCCATACACATTATGACAAAATAGCAATCCTCTTGTTTGGAGTGATAGAATCAAACACCTCACTAGGTTTTGATAACAACTGCACAGTGCTTCTATGGAGCCAAATTTAGCCCTGTTGTCAGCACATGCATGGCCACTGATTATAACAAGTTTCTATTTAAAAGACACAAGTTATTTTACACAGCAGGTGCTGGAACTCGCTGCCAGCAGCAGAGATTGGGACACTCCAGTATAAGCAGAGAGGAGGATGGACAATGCGCCCATAGCAGGCAAACACACATCACTAGGAATTGCTACAGAGCCAGGTCTGGCACACTGGACTTATCAGCTGTGGTGAATTTTGCTGCATACCTGGAGAGGGCTTGGCCTCCTGGCCAGTAAATCGCCCAGAAAGGGTCCCCATAAGGCCACAGGTCAGGTTTTTCTCTCCAGAACCTGCAGTGAGGGGTGAGGAGGCGCAGGCGGATCTCTGGTGTGAGGTGCCCGCTGTTGGTGACCTCGGTGTTCTCCTCCAAAAACGCTCTCACCTCAGGGTCCAGCGACTTGCCTGCGCTCCAGTGGCAGCAGCGCTTCCAGCACATAGAGGGGCCTCCCCTCCTTCCTCTCCACACCTTGGCAAGGGTGTTCTGCCTGCCCAAGAGGAGGAGCCACTTCCAGCCACGGAAGGCCATGCTTCCCCAAGGACACCAGCTTCCCTCAGGAGAACTCAGAGCACAGCTTATCTGAAGCGAGTGATGAGGCACAAAGCTTGAAATGAACTCACAGGATGTTGTTTTTCATAGTGATGAATGTCAATTCCTGAAAGGAGAAAAGCACTAAGTAAGTGATGTTTCTTCAGTGACTTCAGGGCTTTGCACCACCAGGGACTTTAAGAAGAGGAGATCCCTGTGCTCTTGTGCCTTGCCCCTGCCCAGTCTTAAGTCTGAAAGAAGTGGTATTCAAGGAAGAAGCTATCAAGAGACCCATTCAGAAGAGTACTCTGAACTTATCCAGTGAGAAATGATCAGTTAGTGGGACAGTGATAGAGCTAAAAGCTGAATGTGCAACCTTTTAACATCTCTCTCCCTCTGCCCTGAAGGAGCAATCTACTCCCATTTAGGGTTCTTCCACTGAATCTTCAGATTTTGCAGGAAGACTCTGGCATTGCAGGGCCTGTGGACATAGCAGTGGTCATCAGTAGGTTGGTTAAAGAGATACGATTAATTACCTGTTTTATAATGGTGATAAATCTTTATACAAAAGCAATTTTTTAAAGGCAAGCAATTAAAATATTTCATCTCTCTCCCTGGGATTTATCAATCTGCCAGCTCCAAAATTGACAAAAATAGAAAAAAACCTCCAAAACTGATCTTAACCACAGTAGTGCTAATTCATTGCATTTCAGTCTGTATTTTAATAGACTGGTTAGTCTTATGCCACAATAGCTTCATGTGGATGCTGTCAGTTGTAGAAGAAAGCAGACCTCCATCCCTGTAGCTCACTCTGAGACACCATATAAACATGCTCCAAGCCGTCTGAAGACAGAAACTGAATCCAACACATTTAAATTAAGTTTTTAAAAGGTGATAACATTCAGATTGGACAGCCTTGTCACACCATTCAAGGTGTGTAGTCCACTTCACACAAGCAGTGAAGGAGAAGGAAAGATTGGTATGTCCGAGTTTAGATTCATTCAAGAATCAAGAGCATGGAGAGTGGAGAGCCACAGTACTGCATGGAGAGGCAAAGGGAGAGCCTCTCAGCACTTTATCACCAAACTTTCCTCACCTGCCTTCTCTTGCAGACCCTGAGCCTTTCCTATGCTGATCCTGCGAGTACACACAGCAAGAAGTGGCCTGAAGGGAGAGGAGATGTTTTCCAGCCTCCCTGCTTAGATCTCCTTCACCATCCATTAGTATTTCCACATCCTTTTTCCTTCTTCACCTTGCTCTCTAATTTCTTTTCAATAACACAGACTTCCTTGCTTCAGGGCACAGCTTTTGAACCTCCCCTGAAACTGACAACCAGAGAAGAATTTCAGGCCTGTGCTTCCACAACAGCAAGACTGCAAGTACAAACAAACAAGAAACAGAACTTGTTGTTTTGTAATTGTTTTCTCTCTTCTGCAGTGGTTTTCACAAACCAGCAGAATAATGCACGAAGAAAAACAACTTTCATCCCAACTCCAACAATTTTTCACAACAAAAGAATGATGGACAACTTCAAGCTGCGGAGGTTGTCCTTAAAATTAGATAAAGGGACAACAGGAAGAATACGCCAGTGAAAAGAGTCTTAACACTGTGCATTTAATTAGATCAGTTTTTCTTTATTTGTCCATATCTTTAGAAAAAAAGTCATACATGTTTAATGGTATTTTTGTTGTGTGCTGGCCTCTGCTTTAAGTACTAGCTTTAGTTTCATCACTTACTAAAACGTTAAGCTGTGAACTTCACACTCTGCTATTTAGGCTGATACTCCCACTAATTCTTTGTTTAAATCATTGGCTAAAGGCTTTATGTTTCTATTACAAATAAATACACACGATCAAACATTTTGCATTTTTCCACACTGGAGAATGCCATTCAGCAGAGTCCATGTAATTAATGAATGCAATTAGCAAATGCCTTCCTTCTTGAAGGCAGAGCTCTATAATCCTCATCTGCCTAAGGGAAGCATGATGTTAACTGCAATCAATTGAGAGATAAATCTTGTCAGCAAATGCTGTATGCTGGCTTTTCTCCACGAATTGCTGCAAATTAGCAGGGCTGAGATCCTGTAGCGTTTATTTTGCATAGCCTGTCATGATGGTTACTCTCCTGAAATTAATCATCAGTACCTGCCAAGAGCCCAGTGCTTAAGATGCCAAACTGAGCTTAAATGCTTCGTGAGGGAAAGCATCAGGATGGACACTGTGTTTGACACTCCTGGCCCGTCCATCTTACAGGGAATAAAACCAGGATGGATAACAGGATGGATATCCCTGTGTTTGACACTCCTGGCCCGTCCATCTTACAGGGAATAAAACCAGGATGGATAACAGGATGGATATCCCTGTGTTTGACACTCCTGGCCCGTCCATCTTACAGGGAATAAAACCAGGATGGATAACAGGATGGATATCCCTGTGTTTGACACTCCTGGCCTATCCATCTTACACAGAATAAAATCAGGGTGGATATCCCTGCACTTGACACTACCAGCCTGCCCCTCTTACTAAAATCAGTGATCGAGTAGAACTTGGATCAGAAGACAAAACGTAGCAAAACACATAAGAAAAACCTCACCTACCCCCCGCCAAAAAACCGCAAAACCCTAAACCAAACCGCAATTTCTATGAAATTTAATCTTTGGGGATTTTGTTTTGTTTTTTTAGGCAGCAGGAGCCGTCCAAAGCCCAGCCACCCCGCCCCACCTTGCCCTCGGGGGATGCCAGCCCTACCCACGCCCGCTCGGCGAGGGAGGCAAGCGCCGGCCGCGGCCGCCCCGCCGCCATCGCGGCTCAGCCCGCCCGGCGCAGCGGCCGCAGGCCTCGGCAGCGCGGGCAGCTCCCGGCCGGGGAAGGGGCAGCCGGGCCCGCTGCCCGGCCCGGCCCGGCCCGGCCCGCACGTACCTGCTGCTGCCGCCGCCGCCGCCGCGCCGGGGCCGGGCAGGGCCGCGCTCCCGCCCGCCCTTAAAGCGGCAGCGCCGGAGCGCCGCGGCCTCCGCTGGAGCTCGGGCCGCTTCTCCTTCCCGGCCTGCAGCCCTGCCCCGCTCCGAGTCCGCTCCCTGCTCGGTGCCTGGCCTTGCTCCGCTCCCAACGCCTTTGAAAGGCTTTTCTGACAGGCGTGCGCCAATGCGAGCTAGCCCTGTGTTTACAAAAGTTGATAAAAACCCACGCGGGAAAAGCAGCGATAACACACGTCCCGGCTGAATGGCGGGGGAAATGAGGGGGTTTTTCCCCGTCGCACATCAGATCAAGGGCGCTGTCAATCCGGGGTGGCCCAGGGGAAGCTCTCCAGCCTCTCGGAGGCAGCGGCAGCTACCGCAGGCTGCGGCCGCCGAGAGAGCGCCCGGTGCCGGCTCTGCCCCTCGGGCAAGCGGGACCTCTGCCCGCTCCTCTGCCGCTCCCGTCCCGCCTGCTCCATCCTCCAAAGATCCCTTCGCTTCTCTCCCCAGACCCTCTCCGGTGTGGGCAGGAGAGAGGGGGCTTCCCGTGTTGTTGCTGTCCCTCAGGAGGGCACAGCTCAGTGGCAGGTAAGACACACCTACACCTACAAACGCTGGTGTTTCCGCCGAGACCTCGAAGTGGCCACATTTTCACGTGGCAGTGACTGGGACACACTGGCGTGGGACAAGGAACAAAACCCCCCTGTATCTCCTCCAATTCCCCAGTTCCTGAGGTTCACAGAGATCTTCCCTAACGGGCTCACTTCCCTTTGAGATCCCGGAGATTCCCCAACAGCTCCCACCTAGTCGCTGCTCCATCTCCAGTCCCGTCTGCTGGGATTTAGGGAATACGAGCAGCTTCTAAAGGTTCTCTACCTTCCCGGTGGGACAAAGCACACCAAATTTCTCGCGCTGCGTTTTTGAAAGATTCTTGTGCATTGCCCGAGGTGATGATTCTGCAGCAGTTTGGGATACCAGGGGTTTAAACTGGGCGATCCCTGAGCCCAATCCTGGCTCTGCCCAAATCTCTGAGGTTACGAGGCCATCTAGTGATCTGCGAGCTTGTTACAATTAAAATGTACTCTCCAGGGTCGGAAAGTTGCTTGTAAACCAGGATCTCTTCTTTAAATGCGGGTGATCCACAGCCTTCCGAGAGAAGTTGACCCCTGCGTGTTGGGCTGTAGAGTGACCAGACAGAAGCTGATGTCCTCCTGCCACACGAAGGAGCCTGGAATCCATAGACTGGATTGTTAAACTACAGGGGTACTTGCATGCCTTTTACTCTTCTGAAGCAGGGCCCACACTCAATCTTTTTAGAAATTACCCCTTGAATGGTATAAACGTGGACCTTCATGTCTTGTTTGGTGTGGATCAAAGAAATTGTTTATTTAATGTGGCCATTATTTCTTGGAGCCCCTCGGGGAACTGTGAATTTCCAAAGGTCTTTCAGCAGCCCTTGCTGGTACCTCTCCAAGAAGGGAGGTATTGAAAACACTCACAGCACCCAAAATTGTGAATAAAACATGCAATATTTTTTGAAATAAAAATTGTGAATAAAACATGGGGTTTTTTGCCCTCTAGATACTCACCACCATGCTAGGAATAAAGAACTTGGTAATGCTATCAACATCAGCTCTGGATGTCATGTAAGATATTGTGCCAGGATACTGACAGGTGATGATACAGCTCTTCCTTGCACATTTTATTTTATGCCTTACATGGTTCTCATGGAAGCTTTTACACTTAGATCACCAGCCTCTTTGATTGATGTTTTAACAAGTATCTTCTCAGATCTAGTTTTTCTGAACTCCTGATATATGACTTTACTTAGTAGCTGTATGAACCTCAGTAAAGTCACTGCTGTCTAATACAGACCAATATCACACTTGAAAGGGCAGTTCAAAAGGATAGAATCATAAAACCACAGAGTGGCTTGTGTTGGGAGGGACCTCAAAGATAATCTAGTTCCAGCCTCTCAAAGAAGTCTGGCTGCTCCCAGCTGAGAGATTTTTTTGGTGAAAAAGGAGGGTTAAAGTCTTTGCTTCCCGGTGACACTGGCAGGGATGTTAGAACCAGAAAAATTTCTCATTTAACTACAAGTAATTAGTTGTGATTGTACAGATTCCTAGCATGACATAAGAAAGCCCCAATACCAGTGATAGCTGCTATGCCTCTTGTGAGAGTCTAGGTGAACCTCTTAACCTTTCAGGACAAGGTTTGTGCTGACTATTTCGACAAAGTATCAAAGCCTGTTATCCATAAGAAAAAAGAGTTTAATTTCCAAAGGCTTTTTGCTTTAGATGGTGACATCTTAAGAATTTCAGCTACAAATTCTGGTATTCTGTGCAAATTACCAGAAGTGTGCTGGAATTTGCTCTGAGGACAAGGACGTCTTTGATCACCACATAACATCGATTTGGTGTATCATGGAGGAGTGCAACACTTGCAAAATGTAGCTGCAGAGTAGCACACAAGGGACTCCTGGGTGTCCAAGGGAATTAGGGGATTACTGGCTGATGCTACAACTGCCCAAGTGTCTGGGGAAATCTTGTTCAAGCCAATTAATAACAAAGAAATTGAGCTGCCCAAGGACAGAGAGGAAGGCAGGGCAGAGAGGAGCTACCCTCACATTAGCAAGCCCACAACTCATGAATCTTCACAGATACAAAGGCTAAACTCAAAGGAAGGCAGGCCAGTGGTTCAGCAGCCAAGTGCCCTCCCCTCCAGGTCACTCTTCCAGCTGGTACAGGTGACAAGGCCAGCTGCTCCACTTTGCTGTGGTGAAAAGACCTCAGTGGAAATTCACCAGGGGGAAAATGGATGGATTCAGGATACTGTTGATTTGTAAAAAGCATTCCAACAACTAAATATGAACAGTCAGGATTTACACATCAGGCTCAATTTGTGGTTGCCCAGAGGCTGTGGAAGCAAGTCATTACCAGAATGTAGCTGGTGCAGTCACTAAGGTAAAATTGAAGCTGAGAGCTCTAGCTAGGTGAGGGAGAGGCAATTCAGTTATTCTGTCATGCCTTCAGCTACAATCCAATTTCAGAATAACAGTACATCTTTTGCAGTTGAAGAATAGGCATCTTAACATAACAACAATCACATATTACCTGTGATGTGTCTGGAAAGCACCAAATGTTCTTTTCATAGGATTACCCTTCCCCACTTCCTTGCCAGCTGCATTAGGTTAGGAGAAGGAAGGAGCAGCAGCTAGCAGAGATGAAGGCATCAAGTGCCTTCTAGCAGTGGAGGGAAGAAGGGGAATTTGTAAGGTGCAGCTAGTTTTCAGAGTGGAGATAGGATGAAGCAAGGAGAAACTGTAATAATCTGACCTTTGTGCTGCTTAGATTCAGGTTTTCTGACACAGATCTTTCCTCTGTGAGAGCCTTGTTGCTATGAGTGAGACGTTGAAAACTATTATCTCTAGCTCATTCTTGATTTTGTCTTTTGTTCATGTCTGTGGTTGAAGTATTCTTGACCTTAGCTGGCTGGATTTATTCATGTGCAGTCAGACACGAGAGTACGTTTTTAGCATGAATGAAGATTGGAGAGATG